AAAATCGCCTGGGTTGAGAAAGGATTTTTCTCATAGAGCGCAATGTAATCACAAACTGCTCGTGTCTGTCTGACAGGGCACCTACAACTTTCAAAAATGTTGGATTTTGTAGCGATTTTTACCTATTTTTAGACCATAAACTTTTTCTCAGCTCAAAATCCTTCAGTTGTCTTAAAAAACTCTTTATAATCGTTCGCTCCGGCTCCGCTCTAGCTCCTCTCGCTCTGATTAGTCAAAGTGATCACGTGATATACAAAACTGTGCTCCATGCGTGCGCTTGCGTGCATTGTCACGTGCCCGCGGAAGAAAAGAGCACTACTGCACATGCTCAATCGGCTCGGAGCCACTGGAAGTACCTCGCCGGGCTAAAGGTGAATCTGGAGTCATGCGCCATTGAGCTTGGCCCATTGACTTAAATGGGGTGGCATTTTGAAAGCGCTGGGCTTAGTTTACCCTGGTGTGTGAATGTGTGTGTGAATGGGTGAGTGGTTCCTTGGTGTAAAGCGCTCTAAGTGCCTTGAAGGTGGAAATTTATAAAAATGTGATTAAATTGAGCCGTTTTACTACAAATTATAACAACTTCCATGATTACAGCTATGGTAATAGTAGTAATAGTATGTTTATAAACAAAATATTTTACACATTTACATTTTTATTGCCACTGAGACTCACAAATAAACCAGTTTAGACAATGGGTGAAAACTACTTTAGAAGTTAGAACCACACAGTTCTCACCTGGACAGGGTCTTGGACCTGGTCAGGGCTTTGGTGATGACCAGAGACGGAGCAGACTGACGCCGGTAACTCTGAGACTTCATCCTCTGCAACACAAACAGAGCATTTTAAATATTAAAGCAAACTGACCAAAGAAAGTGTACGATAACAAAATCTGAAGAATAGTAAGTTGCAACAGATAAATATTGAAACTACTTTATGCCAATTAAAATAAAGCAGGATAATCCCAGTAAACCATTTTTAAACACAGTATCATTAAAAGGCCAGTATAAAGAAGCAATAATTAGTCATAGTTAGTTAATTATTTGACCCTCTACAGCTCAAATCTTGTCATATCACAACTAAAATAACAAAAATCGACCTATTCTTGCAAAGAAATTGTACACACGATAAATACTGAGCCCCAAAATGCATTAATCCAACTTTCAAATATGGAACAAGAAGTTAATACCGTAATTATTAAGTGATTATCAAGTGAGTATGACAGGTTTTCATGTTTGGTGGGAAAGTACATGTGGTCAATATTTATCATACTTTTACATCAGTGAAGTGGCAGTGTGTGGGGAAAAAAGTAGAATTGCAGTAAGTAAAAATACAGGAAGTGGCGCAGTTTGTGAGAGAAAAAAAAAAGAGAAGTAAATTACAAAAAGAATTCTGACAAGCATTGCAACTGCCATTAGAATTTGTGATTTATGTTTTAATGAATTCACATTTTAAACACGTCCAGAAGATTTGACAAAAAGACTGAAATATGAACTGAGAAACTAAAACAAGAATCAAATTTCAAAACGTTTTTTATGGAGAATAAGACTATAAGATATTTAGTTGTTCGTGGAGGAAATAACAGTACGAATAGTTAAAGAAAAGTTTTTTTGTTACAAATACTAGTTTCCATGTTTATGTGTTTGAGTTTCCTGACATTTTGAGGACTTTTCAGCTTTCAAAAGATGTAATATTTAGTTTTAAATTGTTCATTGCAATGGTACTTAAAATTTTGCAGGTTAATTAAACTGTCCATTGCACACCAAGAACAACTTACAAAAGCAGCTCTAAATCAGGACTTAAACAGGACTAAACCAGGTCTAAACCAGGACTATACCAGGTCTAAACTAGAACTAAACCAGGACTAAATCCGGACTGAACCAGACCTAAACCAAGATTAAACCAGGACCGAACCAGAACTAAACTAGGACAAACTAGGACCTAACAAAGACTAAACCAGAACTAAACCAGGTCTAAACCAGGATTAAACCAGGACTAAACCAAGTTTAAACCAGGTCTAAACTAAAACTAAACCAGGACTAAATCAGGACTGAACCAGAACTAAACTAGGACTAAACTGGGACCTAACCAAGACTAAACCAGAACTACACCAGGACTAAACCAAGTCTAAACTAGGTCTAAACTACAACTAAACCAAGACTAAATCAGGACTGAACCAGAACTAAAATCGGACTAAACTAGGACCTAACCAAGACTAAAGCAGGACTAAACTGCACTGAATGAGGTCTAAACCTGGACTGAACTAGGACTAAACTAGGACTGAATTATTTTGCAGACCTTTGCTAATACTGTCTCACTGTCTGTCTTGTGTTCAGAACAGTGTGAGAAAGCTTAAAGATTGATGGTTAGTTCAGATACAGGAGATGTCCTTTCACATTCCCTCGGTTCATTTCTGATTTAATCACAGTCTGTGGGTTTTGGAGGCCACTCAGAGTCAGGCAAATGTAATGAATGTACTGGACATACAAATACAGGCTTATGTAACAGCGCCTCACTGTAAACATGAGGCAATGGGCCACTATGTAATAGTCAAGGGGGAGTTTTGGACCAATGACGTAATATTGATTGGATTATGTTAAATTACAGATGCATTGCAAAATCTGTGCATTTTTACCATTTGAAAGGTAGAATGTTTACCCGATTTTGTCAATTAATCTTAGAATATGGCTTTGTTTCAGATGGCATCATAGCTGCCAGCTAAAATGAATATTGTTAAAATCAGTAGTGGATGAAGTACTCAGTTTTGTTATTTAAGTAAAAGTGCACATACAGGTACAAAACGTTACTCAAGTAAATATAAAAGTATTGCATGAAAAAATTAAGCAAAAGTATTAAAGTGCCTGTCTAAAAATGTACTTAAAGAGTAAAAAGTCAAAGTATTTTGCAGAGAGTTTTAGAACAATTAAATCATCCTTTAATTGGTCTAAAACTCTCCGCAAAATAGTTTTACTTGTAGTGATTTTGATAACGAGTTTAGCCAATTTTAAGTGATTCAATTGATTTGTTAATTTTTTCTTTTACGTCATTACATTTGAGAGTATGTATCTGTACTTTCTACTCCACTACATTTTAGATCTTAGAAAAGTAAAATTTCTTTTCTTTATGGTTTTAGACTTACTGAAACTGCTGAGACTTATTTTTAGCTTCTGTCCCAACTTTGAGCAAACCAAATACACAAAAACTCAAAACAAAAATTAATAAATACTTAAAGTACAGACACCTAAAAAGTGTACTTAAGTATTGTACTTTTACTTTTGTACTTCATTGCTTTCCTCCACTGGTTAAAATGTAGATTTCTGTTGTAGTACAGTAAAGTCCAGGGTCTAATCGCTTAATGTTCAGGTTCAACATTTGGGCTTTTACTTTTTGGATACTTCATGGCAAAGTACAATGTAATCAATAGGAAAAACTGTCTCTTGTTTCTGAAAACCACCCATTTAGCTTTGAATTGTTAATCGTTACAGTAACAGTCCTAATTTTCCATAATGCTTGAACCCATGGATACAGATAAAATGAAAACATCTTCCTTTTGTCGTTATATTATTTAAAGATGCACTGAGTAACATTTCTGGTCAAGTGTAAGCTAAGGACACCAATGATGGTGATGGTTAAAAATGGTGATTTTAATCAACAATTTTATTTACTTAAAGGAGCATTGTGTAAATCCTTCTCTCCGTGGAGATGTTATCGCTTTGTCTGGAATGTTTCACAGTATGACATTAAATGGTAATATCGCTCTTTATATAGCTCTTTTCCACCTTCAAGGCACTCAAACCGCTTTACAACTCAACCATTCACACACCAGTGTACACAGACACTGAGGGCAAGGGGGGTTAAGTGTCTTGCCCAAGGACACAACGACAGCATTCATCCGTGGGAGCTGGAATCACACCAGCCAGCCTGTGGGTCAGAAGGTCTGCTGAGAGCAGGATTGGAAACGCCAGCCTTCAGAGCAATGGGCACATGAGCTTCTGTCAACCCTTTAACCTTTCTATCTTCATGGAGATCAAACCAGACCAAGTTACAAGTCAGATCTGTGGAGAGGCGACCCAGCTCACACTCAGAATATAGTTTTTCTAGGTATTTTTGAGCTATAAAACCACTGTAATTGAATAAACGTAGAGCTGTTTAATGTCATACTGTGCAATATTCAAGGCAGAACAATGCCATATCCATAGAAACAAGCAGGTGACAAGTCCTCTACTAGAAAAGTTACACAATGCACCTTTAATTGCAAATTTAGCTTGACATTGTGGGCAACCTGTGCATCGTCGGAGATTGTTTAGCGTCTAACATATCCATTAGGTGTGTGCATTGCCATGAGTGTGACGATACAATACAAATCATGATATACATGTCACAGCTCAATGTATCACGATATATCCCGATACTAAAACATAGGACAATATATTGCGATTTATCAATAATTATTTCTATTAATACAGTCAACTACACCTTAACGAGAACACAATTGTATGAAATATAATGTATAAAAATGTTTAAATCATCATAACAGTGAATGTAACTAGGGCTGGGTATCATTAAGAAGTTGCCGATACGATACATAGGCCACGATACAATACATATCTTGATACAGTGCACTTTCAATTCGATACGATATATTTCAAATCAATTCGATACGGTTCAATAAAAAATAAAGGCTAAATCATGGCTGTGATACTAAAAGTCTTTGTTAAACCACTTCTTGTGCAAAGTTCATATGAAACACAAACATTTGAAATTATAAAAACTGTGAAAATGTCAAATGTGTCGAGTTTCCGTCCTCTAAACAAGCAACAAAAACTGTAGCTGTAACAAAATAATTGAGCTAAAATACACCAAAAAATATTCTTGGTGATATATCGATACAGCAGCCCACAATATCGATATTGTATCATCACATTAAGCAATACGATATATCGATATTTCGATATTTTTGCACAGCCCTAAATGTAACTAAAAATCGATTTGGATGCATTTTGAATAGATTTGAGAATTGTCGAATGAAGTATCACGATATATAACTGGATCTGCTTTTTCTTACACCCCTAATATACATGGAGACAAGCACATGACACCACCAGGGTCTGATCTGTGGAGAGGCGACCTCGCTCACAAGAAAGTAAGATATTTTTGAGCAATTAAAACATCTGTAATTAAATAAATGCTGTAAATGTATTGCTAAAAAAAAAAAAACAAGATAGATTTCACGTCATACTGTGAAGAACGTTCCTGCCAAAACAATAACATCTTCATGGAGACAAGCAGGTTTTGGACCCTCCACCAAAAAAGTTACATAATGCATCTTTAAACTGAGAACTAGAAGGCCGCTGGTTTGGTCCCATTGTCCCAGTTTACAGATTACAACGTTTGTTTTAATCTAATTGTAACAGATTAGTGAGTGTGAGGCCTGACAAATAAGTATTATGTAACCACAGCTGCTGCATTGTACACAAGATTAACCCACATTTAATTATAGAGGCCAGGACAATTCATTACATGTTATTGTTTACATGAAGCAATTAGCCAAACCAGGACTAAACCAGGACTAAACCAAGTCTGAACCAGGACTGAACCAGGACTGAACCAGGACTAAACTAGAACTGAACCAGAAATAAATAGGTCTAACCCAGGCCTGAAACAGGACTAATCCAGGACTGACCTAAAACTAAACCAGGAATGAAGCAGAACTAAATCAGGACTAAAACCAGGACTGAACCAGGACTAAACCAGGCCTGAACCAGAACTAAACTAGGATAAACTAGGACCTATCCAAGAATAAACCAGATTTCATCGACGTCTAAACCAAGATTAAACCAGGACTAAAGCAGGACTAAACTGCACTGAATGAGCTCTAAACCTGGACTGAACTAGGGCATAACCAGCATTAAATCAAGTCTAAACCAGGACTAAACCAGGATTGAATTAGGGCTAATCCAGGACTGATCTAAAACTAAACCAAGACTAAAGTAAGTTGAAAGCATCACTGTCCATTGCAGACCAAGAACAACAGCATCTTTAAACCAGGACTAAACCAAGTCTAAACCAGGTCTAAACCAGAACTATACCGGTCCTGGACTAAACCAGGTCTAAACCAGTACTAAACCAGGTCTAAACAAGCACTAAACAATGACTGAAACACCTCTGATATACTGTCTAACATGAAACACCTCACAAAACCAGTCTAAACGAAGACTAAACCAGGTCTAAATCAGGTCTAAACCAGGACTTAACAAGAATTAAAACAGGCCTAAACCAGGATTAAACCAGGTCTAAACCAGGACAAAACCAGGTCTAAACAAGCACTAAGCAATGACTGAAACACCTCTGATATACTGTCTAACAGAACACCCCACAAGACCAGTCAAGACCAGGAGAAAAGCAGGACTAAACGAGGTCTAAACCAGGACTTAAGAAGGACTAAACAAGCACTAAACCAGGACTAAACAAGGACTAAACCAAGACAAAACCAGGTCTAAACAAGCACTAAACAATGACTGAAACAACTCTGATATACTGTCTAACAAAGAACACCCTAAACCAGGACTAAACCAGGTCTAAATCACCATTTAACAAGGACTAAAGCAGGAATAAACCAAGTCTAAACCAGAACTAATCCAGGACTAAAATACTACTACTACTTAACATTGTCCACAGTCCTGTAGTATCTGTCCAACTGGCTCCAATTCACCTTGAGTTTGTCTTATATAAATTGGCTTGTGCAGGTGACAGTTTAACCACACTGACTGTTCATTGTGTGAACCAATAAAATCTCCTCTTTTTGACCTGAAAACACTTGAAAAGAAGCACTTATCCAGATTTACGTGCGCCTACATATTTTTGACGTTTCACAATGTAATATTATTGATTCTACCAGGGTCACAGTTGGGTGATACATTCCTGAGACTTGAGCGTCACAATGTTAGCTTTCAGGGCTAAAAATAAACACGAAAATACACTAAAATGCTCAAAACTGAATTATTGTTCGCTTCATCATGCATGTTTTTAAATTTATTAGGGTTAATTTGGGATATTTTGGGTTTAAATAATAACCACGAGTCTATTTTTTTATTTTTTTATCACTTCTATGTAAATTTCTTGGCAGTCTTTCATCTAATTGCTTGTTTTTCGCTTTATGTTCCGCAGTATGGCATTAAAACTTATATTTCTCCATGGAGACAAGCAGCAGACTCCAAGTTACAGGTCAGATCTGTGGAGAGGCGACCCCTCTCACAGTACGAATGCACGTTTTATTGGTGTTTTTGAGCAATAACAACACATGTAACTGAATAAATATGAGATAGATACATTTACTGCTTTAGTGTGGAACATGTCAAACAAAGTAATTACATCTCCATGGTGACAGTGACAGAGCCTCCATCAGAAAAGTTACATAGTGCAGCTTTAAATGAGCAATTTTTAGTGTTAAAGAGCATCGCATTACTAAAGAAAAACCTATATAGGCCTAGCTATAAGTTATTTTAAAATGAATTTGATATGGAAATATTTTAAATTAAGTTACACAATTTGTATGAGAAAACACTGAAATTTTAACAAATTATTACGCTATTTTCTGATCTGTTATAATGCTGTTTCCTCATCACAAACATACTGTACCCGGAGTTGTGTTGTGTTTCATTAACACCTGTTTAACACACAAACTCTGTATATTTTGGCTGAGTTCTTCAGAAATAGAAAACACTCTGTTCCACCTTGTGATGTCATGTGGTAATACATGAAGTGCTCCACAGTGTTTTTAAACTTCACACACCTTCACTTCAATCATGTGGATAATTTCAGCCCTGGAATTGACAATCTCTACTAAACTAAAGGTAAAAGAAGATGTTAACTGGAAAGCTCCCGATTCATGACATCACAAGGTGAAACTGAGCATTTTGAGCTTTGGAGATGTAGACAGACTAATAATAAAGAGTTACTCAAAAAAGTGTGAATGAAACAAAACACAACTCCAGGTATGTTTTCATTCTAACATGGCTTAAATTTTGTCAATTTTGCATATATAGGACTTTTAAACTTTTTAAAATAGACCCAAAGCAACTGCCCACTATGAATAAATATATAATAGTAGTAGTAGTAGTAGTAGTAGTAGTAGTAGTATAGTAGTAGTTGTAGTAGTAGTAGTAGTAGTGATAGTGATGGCATTCAATCTGCTATGTAATCAATACTTATGCCTACCTACTTAGGCTTAGAAATATATAAACTTTATTGATCTACAAGGTTAATTACTTGGACATAGTAGCTCACACATCGCAATAAAAGATAAAAACAGCAAAGACGCAACAGTAATTAGGTTATAATAACAGTTATAATTGGCCTAATCGATGCAGATGTGCTTTTAAAACAGATGAATACGCCAAATGAAAGAAAATACATACATTTATAACTTCTAAGCCACGTTATTTTGAATGGGGGGCTTGTTCAGAGTTCACAAAATTTTTGAGTTGTTTGACCGCCGTGAACTCCGCTTTGACCTCCAACTCTGAGTTAGGTTAACAAAATCAACCAATTTATTGCTCTTTTCCGCGTTTCTAACCGATTACGTCGCCAATTACATGCGTAACTTTTTTTTTTTTTTTTTTTTTTTTTAAGAGAGCACATTTACACTGAAAGATGCCAAATTCTAACCGCGTTTTACCCAATTACAATAGAATTTATAAGCTTATAATAAATAGTTTTTAAAAGTTTTTTGTTCTTTTTTTTTTTTGTTGTGCATTCTGTTTATTTGTTGAATTGTTAAATTGAATAAAAATGTAAATACCAGAAAAGTTACGATGCTTTGGGGTTGCTATCAATATCCTTGGACACAGATACAGTAAGCTACTTTTTAGCTTTTTTTTTTTTTTTTTTTTTTTTTTTTTTTTTTAAGATAAAACGTTATTTTATTTGTTAAACCCAAGAAATATTTAAAATACAAAAAAATACATATATAAATAAGTTACATTGCAGGTGGCGTGGACTAGCAAAGACACAGATACGGAAGGCTATAATTTCTTTTAAACCATTAAATTTAATTATTTTTGTTTTTTATGTTAAATGTTTTTTTCATTTGTTAAAAGAAAAAGCCTAAAAAGTAAATTAGCAAAAAAAAGTACAACGCAGGGCGAGTGGGCTGCTATGTTGCGTTGCTATACAATTCCTTGGACAAAATACAGGCTATCATTTCTATTATAGCGCCATTGTAAACAAAAGTACTTATATTTAGTGAAGTCTTACTGTTTTATTGTCCGGTTGGGCGCCTGCTCGGTTGGGGTTGTTGTCAGATTGTTGTTGCGGAGACATGCTGTTCATTCACCGTGTACCGTCCACAGGTGATGTCCGGCGGGAAGAAAGAAGTCCTCCAGTAATCTCCGCAAACACGACTCCATCTTGACACAAGTTTTTAAAAGTTGATTATGTGAAAATTTAGTCCAGAAGTTGTTCAAAGTCTCTCGTTTGTAGCCGGTTTGCAGCAGCTCTCACCATCACTGACTGACTTGGCTCTGGTCTGGATAAGCGTCTCCCTCGCGCTTCTTAATGCGTCTTTACGCACGGGACGTAGGCGGCGCCAGAGCGCAGAGAATAAAGGACCAGTTATTTTATCATAACAACCAGATAACACATGTAAATAAAGTTAATTATTAAAATATTAGTGACGTAGTGGCAGTTGGCAGTAGTTTAGTAGTAGCAGTAGGTCTAGTAATAGTAGTGGTAGTGGTGGTGGTGGTTGAAGTAGTGGCAATTGTAGTAGTAGTAGTAGTAGTAGCCTTATACTAGTAGTAGTAGTAGTATAAGTAATAATGTTGGTAGAAGTAGTAGTAGTCATAGCAATCATAGTAGTAGTAGTAGTAGTAGCAGTAGTATAGTAGTAGTAGTAGTAGTAGTAGTAGTAGTAGTAGTGCTAGTAGTATAAGTAATAATGTTGGTAGTAGTAGTAGTCATAGCAATCATAGTAATAGTTGTAGTCGTAGTTGTAGTAAACCCTATAGACCAAATATTGTAATTTTCAAACTATACTACAGCTGCTTCCACTAGTAACCTACACATAAAGTCTTGTTTACATTTATGTACATAGTTATAGCTTTGAGAAAACACAAACGATCAATAACAAATTAAACACGTATGTTAAACTATAAATTATTCACATTCAAAAGCTTATACTTTAGTTCAACAGACACTGCACAGGTACATTTACAAGACCAGTAAAAATCACAAAACTCAATAATTACATGTGATTTGTGCTGTGTTTAAATGCATAAGACACATTGTAGAATCAAAAATACCTGGTTAATCAATGGATTTTCCGAGTAATTGTTGTCTGTAGAGGATAAAGTATAATACATTTTAAAATAATTATTTCGGTCATATTAATTTCATTTAATCTTTGTCACATAATTATTTTTCTATTTTAGTTTTTAGTACTTTTTTCAGTAATTATACTTGTCAAAACCAACTCAGAAGTGAACAGTTCAAAAGAAATCAGACTACTCGCAACTGTCTATATGACATTAAGTAATCTGATAACTCTAGAAGTCAGATTTTGGTGTACATGTAAACAAAAAAAAGGTCCTGTTTTAGTACTACGGGTATGATTAAGTTACAGTGAAGACCTATTAACTTTGTATTTTAACCTGTATTTAAATAAAGTCTCAGTTTTAGAGCCATTTTTCCTTTGCACCACAAACATATTTAGATCTAAAGGACAAACTTGATTAAATATTATTGGGTTAATAGGTTGTAGCTGGAGGCGGTCTGAGAGCACTAGTGTCTATGTGGGAAAGACTGGAAAATTGTAAATAGGCCATGAGGTTATAATAAAGGTTAGCAGTGTATATTTAGGACCTTTGTGTTTTTTTAAAGGTGCACTGTGGATCTTTTCCTGTAGGTTATCCAAGCGCCAACTACTTGTCTTGCAATGCCTGGAATGAAAACACGGTCAAATTTAAAGCTTAGATGTAAGTTCTTTGTGTTTTTAGGTGCACTATGTATGGAGTAAGAAAGCCTTCAGAAATATTTGTGTACATAGGAAAAAAAATCTGTGCATATTTTCTGAAGTTGAGCATAAAATAAATATTTGTAAACTCCCAAATGAGTCCAGTTGTGCATAACATGTATTGTGTCCATCGGAATACGAATTGAAAAGTTACGACATCAAGAATTACAATCACGAAATGAAAATTTACGATTACGTTTCCTTCAGTACAAATACAAATTCACAGACTCGACTTTATTGTCAGAAATACATCAGCACTTCACAGGCATTATTAATGAGCAGAAGAAACATCGATCGAGATGCCGGACTTTTGCACCGCACACAGATTGAACCAGGACTAAACCAGGACTAAACCAGGACTGAACCCAGACTAAACCAGGACTGAACCAGGACTAAACCAGGACTAAACCAGGACTGAACCAGGACTAAACCAGGACTAAACCAGGACTAAACCAGGACTACACCAGAACTGAACCTGGACAGGACACTAGAGTCTCATCTGTGAATTTGTATTCATTCTGATGAAAGCGTGATTGTAAATTTTCATTTTGCGATTGTAATTCTTGATGTCGTAACTTTTCAATTGGTATTCTGATGGATGAAACACACACAACACATTTTATTTATTTATTTTATTATGATTGGACTCATTTGAGAGTTTACGAATATTTATTTTAGGCTCAACTTCAGCCAAATATGCATGGATTTCTATTCTATGCACACAAACATCTCTGAAAGCTTTCTTACTCCAAACCAATGTAACTTTTCTAGTCGGGTATCCAAGCGTCAACTACTTGTCTCCATGGAGATGTTCTTTGTTTGTCTGGAATGTTCCACAGTACGACATTAAGCATTTGATAATTATCGCAGTATGAGCTGTTTGATTATAAAGCTCAGATGTAGGACTTTTGTGTTTTTTAGAGGCACTAGAAACTTTTCTGGGTGGGTATCCAAGCGTCAACTACTTGTCTCCATGGAGATGTTGAATGTTCCACAGTATGGCATTAAGCATTTGATAATTATTGCAGTATGAGATGCTGTTTGTTTTAAAAGCTCAAATGTACAATCTTTATGGTTTTAAGGGGGCACTGCGAAACTTTTCTGGAAGAGGAATCCACCCACCATAGTTAACAGCTCCTTTTACTTTTAGTTCAATAGAGATCGGCAATTCCAGGTCTGAAATTATCCAAATGATTCTTGTGAAAGTGTATGGAGTTTTGAAAAGACAGTGGAGCAGAGTGTTTCCTGTTTGAGAGAAGAACTCAAGCCTAAATCTGCAGGGTTGGTGAGTTAAACATGTGTGAATGAAACAAAACACAACTCCAGGTCTGTTCGTGATGAAGAAACAACATTATAACATAGATCAGAAAATAGTGTAATACTAACACTGGCAGTAGTGAATGGCCCCATAATTACTTTGAGTCTAAAGTGTGTCATAAACTGGGCTAAAGAAGAAGGAGGCCAGAGAATCACGGAGAAGATTCAATCCCCAAATCGGACACAATCGGCCTGTTTTTAAAATCGGGATCATTTCAATAATTACTTTCCGAGTAGGTTCAGTACCGCCGTGGGCACCGACCTTGGAAACAAGAGACGTGTTTGTGGAGGAAAATTAGAATAGAGTTTGTACACTCCCATTCAGTTGTTATAAAAAGCACCTCGACAATATTGTTAGTGAATAAGGCTTTCATGTTTTAAAGAGCTCATACTACGCTATTTTCTGATCTATGTTATAATGTTGTTTCCTCATCACAAACAGAGCTGGAGTTGTGTTTTGCTTCATTCACACAAAAACACCTTGTGATGTCATGTGGTAATACGGGAAGAGCTCCATTATGTTTTTAAACTTCATACACCTTCACTAGAATCATTTCAAGACTGGAATTGCTGATCTCTACTGAACAAAAGGTAAAATAAAGGAAGCTGTTAACTTAAAAACTACCACTACATGACATCACAAGTTGGTGAAGGGTATTTTGCGCTTTGGAGATGTAGACAGACTAATAATAAACGATTACTCAAACACTTGTGAATGAAAGAAACATGTAACATTATAACCAAATTTAAAGCTCACAAGAGTCAATTTTGTGTAATAGAGGACCTTTAAAAGAGATACTATAATAACAACTGAACCTGGCTAATGAGGTCTTTTTTTCTTTTGATAATTTATGTTATTAGGGTCTTTTTTCAGGCCAAGAGTTTGTTTTCATACCCGACAGTTTCAACTAATCACCCTCGGTCTTCCTTAGAGTGGTCACGCGATGTTGCTTTGACGTGTCCGGTCAGCAAACTCTTGGTCTAATAAAAGAACCTAATAACATAGAGCTGAACCTGAGTTGGATATAGAGGAGAGTTTTTTTTTCTCTCATTCTCAGTACATGGACAGGCCTCATGTGAAATCTCAGAACCTCCAGAATTCCCTCACTGAGCTGCAGAGGCTTCACTAGCACTGATTCAGGATTGGCTGCATGTTTGGGTAGTGACCAATCAGATCAGATCAGAGAGGCATTTTAGGTTTAAACCAACTGGATTTCAGCATTGAAACTCAATTCTCAATTTGCTTTCTGATTGGCCTGTCTATAAAGAAATCTCACATTCAATAAGAAACTTGGAATATAAAGGAAAAAAGTGAAATCACCAGTAGGATCTGAACCAATGTGTCTAAAAAAACAAAACAAAAATCAAGATTTAGTTCACAATAAATATTTTAATTCCTTAAAACACCGGTATTCTAGTGTTATCCTGGTTTCCTATGAAGTTTCACATAATTGTATACTGGACATAAAGCAGCTTTAGACACTTGTGATGTTATCTTTAAACTGGTAGTAACTCGTAATATATTTCATCCCTGTAAAATAAAGTCAATACAGTAATTTCAAGTAATCCCAAACCTGGATTAATGGAGAGATTGTGTCAGGGAGGGCATCTGATGTTAAAATATAAGACAATTTCAGATCAGAGAGAAAAAAGAAACTAGAACTGTACTGCAATTGAGATTTATAATATAATAGTTGGATATTTGAGACTAAAATTTTAAAAACTGCTTAGAGGTGCACTACATATGAATGTTATTGAAATGTTATTGCTTCGACTGGAATGTTCCTCAGTATGGCTTTAAAAATACTGCATATATTATGCATTCAGCCAACTATAAGTGATTTTATTGGTCAAAAACAGCTTGAAAAACATGGATTCTAACTATAAGGAGTGTCACCTCTCCACAGATCTGACCCATAACTTGGCCTGGAGGCTTTAGCTGCTTGTCACCATGGACGTAAATGTGTTTATGCCATACCGTGGTGTACTATAAAGCTCCATGGAGACAAGCAGAAAGCAGAAAAATTACATAATGCATCTTTAACTAATACAAGAATCCCATGCAGGGTTTAATACAGATTCATTGTTACTCTATTATTTTGTTGTTTTCAAGTAACATTACATCAACTAATATTGCAATTTCATTATAACTGTAATTAATCTAATAGCGTTTTAAAAATTGTAACTTTTTTGCTTAAGATTCACAGTAACAAATTAACTTGGAGACAATCTTCAAAACAAAACAACACTAAATAAATACATTTAAAAAAAACAGACAAAATGGTAAAAACAAAACAGTATAAAAACAATATAAAAATATTTTCCATCTTCTTAAGGTCCGTGAATGATTTTGAAGTTAAAATCTCCGTCTCTTGCTGTTGGGACCATCAAAAGCTGCTCCGTGGGGGCTTCCGTAGGGTTGAGACTGGCCCATCTGAGCGCCCAGGGGAGAGGGCTGCTGCTGCTGCTGCTGCTGCTGCTGCTGCTGTGGCTGCGGCTGCTGCTGCTGGGGCTGTTTGGAGGGGTCCATGTCCGGCCGGATTCCCATAGAACCAGGCTGGGGGTACCTCTGTAATGGGGAGAGAAGTATGATGGAATTTGTTTTTTGAATATAGATGGTGAGTGGTGCAGGTGAATAAAGTGGTTCGTAAGTTGGTGACTAAGCTTTTCCATAAATGTTGTCACAATTTTACAAGAATTCATGATAACACTAATTCACTTGATGAATAAATGATTAGAGATGCACCAATATTTAAAAAATTGCTGGATCAGATATTGGCTTCGAAATATCTTAAAAAGATGGATCGGTGCATCCCTATAAAAATTATACTTTATGAGATAAGTACTTTATAACACACAGTAATTACATGTAACCCTTACACATTACGGGTAGTGTGTCATTATAAAGTATGTTATTTTTATTTACATAAGTAGTTTATCCTTTGTATTCTTACCGTGCAAAATTACCAGAGACAAGGTATCTTTTGTTAAGTATGCGAAAATGTCATTTGAATAACAGTTTCTTGAGTACTTTTTTTTTTTCAAATAAATAGTATTAATGCATTAGATTTATATTGCACCTTTGGGACACTCATATATGCTTCACACTGAATTATTAATTATTTTTAATCAATCATTCCACAGCTGATGGTTGTAAGACACTGCCCCGGGCCAGACTGACTGACGCAATATTCAGATTAGGCAATGTGCATGAAGTCTCTTGCTTAAGTACAAAACAACACTAGGCAATGGCCCAAGTGGGAATCAACCCCGGTTAGTGGATTTTAAAAAGTCTACAGAATACATTACCATAGCTCCATTCTCAGGGCCCATGGCTGGACTCATACTGGCCGCTCCCTCTGGACTGACGCCCGCTGGTCTCATCCCCATCATCTGAGGGTGGGTCACTCCAGGCCCCAGAGCCGCCTGGTTAAAGCCCTCTACACAATACAGGAGCAGAGTTTAATATTGTGAAAGACAGGAATAAAGACAGGTGAAGACAGGTAAAGAAGGCCAATCACAATATACAGAGGAAGTAAGGCAGAATTTTTCAGGTCCTATATTGCGCAAAATGCATTCCTATGAGCTTTAAGTCATGTTATAATGTTGTTACCCCATGAAAAACATACCTGAAGTTGTGTTTTGTTTCATTCACACTTTTGACTTTTTTATTAGTCTGTCTACATCTCCAGAGCTCAAAATGCTCTGTTCCAATTTGTGATGTCATGAAGCAGTAGTTTTCGAGTTAACAGCTCCTTTTAACTTTAGTAGCAGAGATTGGGAATTCCAAAATTATCCAAATGATTCTAGTGAAGATGAGTTTCAAAACACAGTGGAGCATTTCCTGTATTACCACATGACATCACAAGGTGGAACAGAGCATGTTAAACATGTGTGAATGAAAAAAAAACACAACTCCAGGTCTTTTTGTGATGAGGAAACAACATTATAACTGAGATCAGAACATAGCATAATAAGTTACAGATAGCATTAAATTACAGATGCACTGCTGCCCTCTACTGGTAAAAAAGTAATAATGAGATAGAGATATAACATTTTTGAGTTCTTCTGCAATTGTCAAACATTATTCCTGGTCCAGAATATGATTCCCTTACCTCCCATATTAACAGGTCCTCTTTGGCCCATGTCTCCAGCTCTCATCTCCTGCTCCCTCTGCTGTGAACAGAAAATACAGAAAATATTGGTTTATGAATTTGAATTATTGTACACTTAAGCTTGTTTGTAGCTTGATTTAGCAGGTTTTTCAACTGAACATTTGATATAAAGACTTTATTGGTATCATTAACTCACCCTATAAATGATACTTGTACTTTATGAGAAAAGTACTGTGTAACATGCAGTAATAATATGTAACTTTTAATATAATCCTTTAATCACCTACATCTAGACCTACTCATATAATTCAATGACAAATAATAAAACAAATATTTCAGCAAACATCTAAACAATAAACATCTGGAATTTTAGATCTGGACTTTCTTTATGATTTAAGATTCAGTTTCTGATCCTGGATATCAGTGGATTGTATGAAATATGGACACTGTAAAAACTGAATATAAAACTGTAGATAAAAAGTAGGTGTTGATGTTGTGTTGTAACTCACTCCCTCCATGTTGGGGTAGTTTGGTCTTTGCTCTGGGGCTCTCCTCTGCTCCTCCTGTTCTCTGTGTCTCATCATCTCTCCCTCTCTGCGCCTCCTCTCCTCCTCATGTCTGCAACACAGAAAAACAATCATGGGATCATTTATTGTTGTATGTTACTCATGTCATGTTTATACCCCATAACAGGTTAAACTGAAGTGTTTTATAGTTGAACAAACCTCATCTCGATCTGCTTTCTTCTTTGTAGTTCCTGATTTCGAAGTTCTTCTAACCGCCTCAGCTCCTCTTGGCGTCTCATTAAGTCTAAGAAAGGAAAAAGTAGTTTACAGATATGAGTTAGATGCTTCTGACAAGTATTTCAAGGTTTTAAATGTTTTTGTTTTTATTATTTAAGCCAGGGGTGAGGAAGAGATGGTTTTATTTTTCTTAATTTATTTGTGATTTTTTTCTATTTTTAAAATTTATTAAAGTTATAGTGTGTCTATTTATATATAATTCTTCTTCTTTTTTTTTCTTTCTTTTTTTTAGTATAAGCCCATCAATAGAGGTTTTTCAGGATGGGAGGTGTGGGATTTAAGAAGGAAAAAATGCAATGAAACTTGTAATCTATGTAACTGTATAGTGTGTCTATTTATATATATATTTATTTTTATTTATTATTATTATTTTTTTTACTTTTTTCTTTTTTTTTTAGTATAAGCCCATCAATAGGTTCTTCAGGGTGGGAGGTGTGGGGTTTAAGAGAGAAAAAAATGCAATGAAACTTGTAATCTGTATAACTGCAAATGATAATACTACTTTAAAAATTTTATCACCAAAACAAAAAAGTACAGTATGTAACTTTCTGGAGGTGACACATCAGTTGCAAGATTCCATGGAAATAGAAAGTCAAAAACAACACACACACAATATGGGATGTTTTATGCCTGTATACTGTGGATTATCATAGCCAAAGAAACAACATTTCCATGGAAACAAGCAGGAGGTTTGTGGAGATGATGAGGTATTTCTGCATTTTGTCTGAAACAATAATAAAGTACAACACAAAGAACCACTGGACTGTATTTCGTCAGCTTTACCTTGTCTCATTAGCATTAGCTGGTGTTCATGTTTAGCTGCCTCAAGTTCTTGCTCCAGTTTCTCTTTGGCCTCTCTGATGTTTTTATCCACCTGCTCCTTCTGCTGTTTCTCCATCTCCTCCAGAGCTCTCCACCGAGACGCGTATTCAAACTCAAAAGTGCCAGGCTGAGCGAAGCGGGGATGCTGCTCACGCTCTCTGACAAAACACAAAATAAATAATTGAATTTTAATTTCCATATTTATAATTCTGTTTTTATACCATGGTCTGTGTGATTTCTAATGCTAAATGAGTAAAGTGCAGGTACCATATGTGCTTGGGCAACCATCAGAATCTGAATTTTGCCTGGGCGTTATGGTGCAACATTAGATAAAGAATAAAATATAAACTAAATAAAATATAAAAATAAGGGAATGCATTAAAATAAAGTAAAAACTGAATACAAACTATACAGTAGGGCAGAAAAACAGTGTAAAAATAGTGCAAGTAGGTGAATTAAAGTGACAATATATCAACTTGGGTCTACTTTGTAATTTGATGATGCGGTAAAGACATGTAATTGTTTTTTTTTTCTCTTAAAAAGTACATATTAATCGCTATTTAATGTTTTATTGTTACTTAATGATTAACAAAAACATGTCAAACTGCTCACTAAAATTAATTATTTTGTAATAAAAATTTAAAAAATTCAAACTTGTATTTTCTAAGATGAAAAGATGATACATTTTGTTTGTTGTGTCATCAAAATCCAACATTTGTAGGTTATCTGATCTGTATATTTTCCAGATTTTCCTTTTGGATTTTACTTAAATACTAAAATACTAACCCAGATACTGTCAGTGTACTGAATTAACTTAGCTGTCCATTATAACAAGAAACAATTATTACTACTTTAAAATAACTCACTTGTAGTATCTTGGGGTCTTGGGCAGAATCTTTTCAGACAGTCCATCTTCTTCATCAAACTGTTCTGAAGGCTCGACTATGACTGGGCAAGGAGTGCTGGAGAAAATGAAAATATAAATAATCGATTGGATGGACATTTTAATAATTAACAGCATGTAATTTAACAATATCCAAATCAAATCACACATCTGCAATTATCACAGTTTTAGTCTCTGTAATAAAGTGAACAACAGGGACAGGCCTTTTTTAAGTCTTTTTTTAATTTTCTGACCTACTTTAGAGGTTCTTAAAGTCAGTTAAAATATTGGCAAAATTTAGAGTCTGTTTGATCCACATTTTTGTCCTCCTTTTGGTTAGTCCTTGTTTAAAACTAGTTTGGTAAGTCTCAAAGTCCCAGTTCAGACCTGGTTCAGTTTTAGACCTTGCAACCAAGCAATGCATTTTAGGCTGTGAAGCTGTACTGTAAAGCCCATGATAAATTTGATGGACTAGGTATTGTTAGTTGTATTTTCAAGTTTATGTTTCATATGCATAAAGTTAAAAGTAACATAAACAATATACAAATAGCTAAATTTTACATAAACCACCAATATAAAAACAATTTTATTACAATATTATTACTATTGTCAACATTACTACATCCTTAATTCATACTAAAATTACACTAAACTCATGACTTACTTGGTCAGTAGTAGAGCCCCCTCTGTGCACCTCTCCAAAGCTTTACGAGCAGCCACTTTATTTGCAAACTCGATGAATCCTTTCCCCGTCGGTCGTCCTCTGTCGTCTGTGATCACGATTGTTCTTTCCACAGGCCCGAACTGAGAAAAAGCCTGAGAAGAGAGAAGAAAAATTAACAACAGGATTTTACCATTTTGTCTAATGTTGAAACCATTGGCAAATATGACAACAGTAATTTACTCTGCAGGTTTTGTATTTCATGCATTACACATTCACTGACCATTCTTGCTTGATTCTATTTTTTAGCCACAACTGCAAGGGATCTTAATATCATCATATATATTTTTGTTGGCCAAATTTACAATTTAAGTTAAGTATTCTTTATTTGATTATTTGATTATTTATTATTATTGTTACTGAATATTTACCTGTTCTAAAAGTTCATTGGTGACAATAGGAAGTAGGTTTCGGACTTTGAGCGTTGCCCCGTGTGACGCCAAACGAACTCGAATCTGACGATTATTTACAAGAGTCCCGTCAAGTTCAGCTTTGGCAATTTCTGCGAGAATTCTGGTCTCCTGAAAAACAAGATAATCAACAATTAATCAAAGACACTTGAACTTACAGTAAGCAGAACATTTGTATCTAATCTGTTATTTACATTGGTGACAAAATAAGAGTTAAATATATAGTTAAAAATATTTCAAGCAACAAAATCTAAGACAACTGAGAAAAAAACCCCACCAAGATACATAAGTGCAATGCCATATATGGTACAATCCAGCAAAGAATTAAGCAATAACATCTCTATGGAGACAAGCACATGGCCGACCCTCACCCAGAAAAGTTACACAGTGAAACTTTAAACACACTTTGGTGCAGAGATGTCATATTTTATGTCAATTAAAACAGGAGGTTGCCATTCAAATAATATAAATGTAATTAATACGAGTCCCAATATACAACAGGTATGTGCAAAAATATGAAAATATCGCATTGTTTAATGTGATGATACAGTATCGATGTTGTGGGTTGCTGTACTGGTATATCGCCAAGAGTATTTTTTGGTATATTTCACACAATTATTTTGTTACAGTGCTACAGTTTTGTTGCTTTAGAGGAAGGAAACTTATTTATGCAACATATTTGAGATTTTCACTGTTTTGATGATTAAAATGTTTGTATTTCATATTATCTTTGCACAAGAATTGGTTTAAGAAAGACACACACAGAAGCACAACCATGATTTAGGCATTATATTTTTATTAAACCGTATCAAATCGATTTGAAATATATTGTATCGAGGCGAAAGTACACTGTATCGAGATATGTATCGTATTGTGGCCTGTGTATCGAGATATGTATCGTATCGGCAACTTCTTAATGATACCCAGACCTAATATACAATACTAACAAATTATAGCATTACCAGATTCCAACTTAGATTTAAAAATAGATGTATTAATAGTACAAGCAGGACCACTGGTAGAGCATTATTGATCCAAAATATATCAGCAAAATTTGATATTTCACAAACTATACATTTCATTGTAACTGCAGTATCTACTCACCAATCGTAGTAATCCAAAACCTCTTTCCTTGTTTATGAATACCTCTTCAGTTTTCCCATATTTCGCAAAAAGCTCAATGAACTCCTCCTCGGTGATGTCTGGAGAAAGATTGGCCACGTACAGTCTCGATCTTTGCGTAAAAGTTTTCTCCCCTGGTTTCCTCAAACAACTCATGTCTAAAGTCATTTCTTTCGGTCCCTCATCTGAGTTTGCTTCTTCCTCGGGAGCCTCTGCTTGCTCTGTGGCCGGGGGAGAGGACTGCTTAGGCGGATTGTCTTTGTTCGCTGCATCGGGCTGCTCCGGAGCTGGGGAGTCCGTCTTCGCGTCCTCCACAGCCGAGTGAGGGGACTCGCTTTTCGGGGTGCTTGGATCCGGCGTATTCCGATTAGACATGCTTGATTTAAATTGCAAAACTGATAAAAATGTTAAAATGTTTGTTTTAAGGGGAAAGGGGACTGGGTTGCACCTGCAGGACTCGTACTGGACAAAAACATTAGCTTGAAAAATGGCACAAGTTGCGCACGCCGCTTAATTCTTCTTCGTAAGATTTGAAATGAAAAAGCGACAACAGCGCCATCTATAGACAAGGAGTTGACTTCACAATAACAATAGAACCTATTATTTTTTCATTTTATTTATCATTCAAAAACAAAACAAAACAAACAAACAAACAAACATACATACATTAAAAATAATACATTAAATAAATGTTGGTAATTTATAGTTTGGTCACAACTTATTATTTCCGTGAACAATTTGCTTTTCTTTTTCTAACTTTTCTGATGGAGTCGGGCACATGCTTATCTTCAAGAAGATGTTATTACTGTGCCTGGAATACTCCACAGTATGGCATTAAACGTATCCATCTCCAAACTGATGACAACCAGCTATTGTTCAAATAATGTCATGAAGTACAAATAATAATAATATACAGAAATGCAGAATGTCTAAGAAACCATGTTACCAGTAAACTTAATGCAACTATAGGTCTTAGCCTGCAATTCTAACCTTACATTTAATATTGTCACATATTTTGTGTTGTCAAGTGTTGTCAATACTTATATACTTACACTGGCTGGCTGGCTGTTACTTCACAATCATAAATCAGTAAAAATTATAATTGTAAAACACAAGATCTCTAACACAAGATCTCTAACACACTTGAATAAACCATGTAAACGTAAGGCAACAGTAATTTAAACTTTATAGTAACAAAAATATATATATATACATTTCTGACATGTTTTTACTGTTCATCCTCTGGTCTCTCATCTACATTTCCTAGATCTGCTTCTCCTGCGGTGAAAGAAGAACTGTTATTTTCAGTCATCTCCAACTGTTTGAGAATTTCTTCATCCGTGACTTTAGCTCCGCTGGGACAGTTGTGAACCCTGAGCTGTGCTGGCCGCTCAAATCCTTCTCCACAGTCCGTACAAACATGAGGCATCACATCAAAGTGCTTTCTCAGATGGTGGGTGAGTTCATTGGAGGATCGAAATTGCTTGTCACAAATTTCACAGTCGTACGGTTTGACGGCATGAATCTGGATGTGTGTTTTGGCGTTGTGCTTCCAGGTGAAAGTCTTGGAGCAGAAATCACAGCTGTACGGTCGCTCTCCAGAGTGAATGCGCAGGTGACGTCTTAAAGCGTGCGATGAGGAGTAGCTCTTCCCACATTTGCTGCAAGGAAACATGGTGGACAAAGCAGATCTTGATCCAATGTTGATTTGATTCTGAAAAAAGGCAAAATCAAGTCTTAGAAAAAAACAGACTGTATATAGAAGTGGACTACACACCTATAGTGCTCAGTTCAAGTCAAATGAAGCTCAACAGGTTGGCAGTTATAGGAGCAAATTTGGAGCTAGGTAAATATTAAGAATAGGATTTATTTATGGACAAAAGTAGCAAAATAAAAACACCAGGATCATGTAGAGCAGGTTAATACGGACATTTTAAGACCAAAATGACAAGGCTTACAGCACCAGTTACAGAGAGAGGGGTGATATTTTTTCAGTGTAAAGTCAATTGGAGCCAGAGTCGATGGAGCCAGAAACGACCCCATGATCACTTCTATGTATGTCTATATATACACAGTTACAGTCAGAAAAAAACACAATTAGAACTGAATAAAACTGCCATCAACAGATAAATGCCAAATGCAATATTTTTGTATTTTGTGAATCTGTAGTTTTGTGTTGGATAAGTTGGTGTGTTCTTGCTATATTATAATCTATATAACATAAAGACAAAAAATTCCTATGTGGCATTATTAAATGAGGAAAAAAAACATGATTAACCTTTTGAATTTCCAATAGTTTGTCTATTTATCTATCAAATTTGGTTTATTCATTCATACAGGATAGTGCATAGGTGAGAAATTATTTTTTATTATAGCAAGAACAGTGGTGATATCCCTAAAAAGCTAATTAAACAAATAGTTTAAAGTTTTGCTCAAGTTAGAGTACTGTTACTTGTCAAAATAAGTACTATCTTGGAATATTGTAGTAAGAGTTCCTAAAAAACAAACAAAAAACATACACTTTGGTACCCTTTACCCAAGAAATTACAAACGTTAACTGTGGATCTATTCTGATTATGATCTTATTACAAATCCACGACTAAAATATAGTAAAATATTTTAGAGCTTTCAAGTTTAGACAAATGACATTTTAGCTTTTCTTTCTAATTTCTAAACTATATTATTGACCTTGGCAGCCTGTGTTTTGACTGAACTTAGCATGTCTAAATTAACTCGTTTGAACAAATCAGCTTGAATCATTTTGCTTTTAAGATTTTTACCTGCTGTAAAGAATGTCCAGCAACTAATTTTCAGGAATATTAAACTTACCAGAAAAGAGAAATTTAACTTTAAAATGTAAAACTCGATGAGATGAGCTCGGTTAGCGCTTCTGTTTTGATTGAACTTCTTCTGTTTGTTTTGACGAACCAACAGAGCCACCAACGGTAGTAACGAGTACTACAAATACAACTGAAATGTAAAATTTAAATATATATAATTTTTTAAAGCTTTAATTAATCTGTGTCTTAAAATAACTTGTTTTCATTGGCTAAAAATAAATCCAAAAAACCCATAATCTAAATCTAGAAAGTGTCCGATAGACATAATTTTTTGTTTATCTTGCCTTCTACTAAATAACGTAAAAAAACATTTAAATTAGGTTCACACGAACATTCTAAAATAATGTGAAAAGATTTAATTAATCCTTGTTTCATTCTTAAAATGATTATTATACCCTTTCCTTATCTTTGCTATGCCTAATTAAAAAAAAAAAAAAAAAAAAATAAAAAAAAAGTTAAATAGTTCGAAGAGACTTATGTGTAATTAGTTTATTGCATTTAAATTTATATCATCACTTCTTGGGTATATTTCTACATAACACAGAGAATTAGCTTAAAAATTAATAAATAAAAATATAAAAAATACACAAATAAATAATAAATAAAGAATATCCGTTATTTATTTATTTTTACATTATTACTTACAATTTGTGAATTAAAAAAAAAAAAATCATTTTATACCAGCAGGTGGCAGTATTTTTCTGTGTGTATGGGTCTTGTGGATTTTACAAACGCGGAAACTGAAAACCAAGCTATTTTGTTATCGTCTTCATTATCGAACAAATAACATTAAATGCATGCTTTCTCACCCATAACAATCGTATTTTCTCTGTATTTGCGCCAGCTTTTTAATGCATTCGCCTCCCATTGATTCTCACTGGACAAAGCCTCGTATCTCCTGCAGGTAATGCTAGCTAAACATATTTACTACACAGCTCGTTTTAATTACTGCTAAACATTTTTAAATAAAGTAGTTGCAAAGTATTGGGGAAGAATTAGTTGCAAAGTAGTAATAATTCTTGTAATAGACGTGTTATTACAATAGAAATAACGTTTTGTCAATTAAACTCAGTAGCCTATGGTAGTTGTAGTAAAATTACAGCAACTGGGTCAATTTCCTACTGTATTTACTCAAAAGTCGTATTTATTTTTAATTGAATGCAGATTTTGGTTAAATTTACTGAAATCTTGATGATAGGGTTGTAGTAGATTCGACCTGGTTTTGCTCATGAACTACTGTTAAGTTATCTTACTCGAATCATGTTTTTGAAGCGTTTTTAAAGTTTTAGCTCTAGTTTATTGCTCTAAATCTAAATGAATACAAGCAAATAGTAGCTAGTAACTAAATTACTCTTATTCTGCTCTTTTTCATTCATTTCTTGTATTTTCAATGTTGTGACACAGTTGGTCTTTTTATACTATTTATGAATGAAATAAACAAATAAAAAATAAATAAATGAATAAAAAGACACTTACGTAGCTCTATTACTGTTAAATAAATTCTTTACCTTTAATTATTTCTCTAAGGATTGCATTTTAATTGCTCAAGTACCACATAACACACACAACTTTTTTCTTACAGGAAAAAAAAAGGACCAATAATTGATCCATGTTCTTCCACTTCTCCAGGTCTGACTTGGACTTCTCTTCCCCCAGACACCTCCTCCTATTCCTCAGTGTGGGATCCAGAAACATTCCCTGTCTTTCCAGCTCTTGTCCCAGTTCCTCTCTGGCTCCCTCTACTGGTGGGACATGTCCAAAACCCCTCCAAATGAAGTTATACAAGAGGTAGCGTCTGCATCTCAAACTGACTGCAAGCAAAATTTGGGCCCAAAATCTACCACAATGTTTCCCTGTGACAAATGTGGAAAAAGCTACGCATCTGCTGGCTCTTTAAGACATCACCAACGTTTACACAGTGGAGACAAGCCCTACAGTTGTGATTTCTGTGGTAAAACTTTCGTAGGAGGCGGCGATTTGACCAGACATTTGAGAGTCCACACCGGCGAAAAACCTTTTAAATGCGAAATATGCGACAAGACTTTTATCTCATCCAACACGCTGACGATTCATTTCAGACACCACACCGGGGAGAAGCCGTATTGTTGCGAAGAGTGTGGAAAATCTTTTATCCAATCTTGCGAACTCAAAAATCACATGAGGACGCATTCGGGGGAGAAACCATTTAAGTGTAACGACTGTGGCAAGACTTTTACGCATAGGGTCAGCTTAAAAACCCACGAAGCTGTGCATACGGGCGAGAAACGCTACAACTGTGAAGAATGCGGTAGGCAATTTGCTGCGGTTGCGAATTTAGTTAAGCATAAACGAACCCACTCAGGTGAAAAACCGTATAGCTGCAATATTTGTGGGAAAAAATTCAGGCAACCGGGCCAAGTAAAGACTCATCAGCTGACCCATACAGAAGACAAACCTTTCGACTGTGATCATTGTAATAAGAGTTTTAAAAGTGCGACCGCTTTAAAGATTCACAAAGGGAGGTATAAAAAGGAGGTAGCGACAGCGTGTGAGTTATGTGGTAAATTGAGTTATTCTGCAGATAGTGTGTATTATCATAAAAGGAGATATCATTCAGAATACTACAAGACTGGGAAAAGAAATGTAAAACTTGAGGAGGAAAAGCAGTAAACTATATCAGATTTAAGACGCTGGCAGTGGTTTCATTTAGGATTTTTTGGAGTTACAAGGTTATTAAAGGTTCTGTATTTCGCAAACTGGACTCTTGTGAGCTTTAATGTTGTTACCTCGTCAAAGAAAGTGAGACAAAGCCTGCACGCTTACTCCCAATTTGCTCCTAATGAATGACAGCATGGTTGTAAGGTCCAAACATTTGTGAAGCCATAGTTGACGCTTTGTGCACCTTTTTAAAATGCCTCAAAAGTGAAAAAGAGCGCTCCAAGTGCAATTAAAAATTATTTACTGACTATTCACATAATTGTATAATAAATAATGGCACCACTTTCTGAAGCTACTGTGTAAAAATAATTTAACTTTTGCTTATTTATACTGACAGAGAAGACGTTGAGCTTTGTGCCAGATTTTGTTTCATGTGAATAGGTCCAGTAATGACAGAGATATAAACCATAAACCAGGTTAACACATCTGCAATCTAACAGCTAAACAGCAAATTCCACCATTTAAACACAACCTATGGAGTGATGCTTATTGGTTTTGACACAGTGACGCCATTATTAATTACATATTCATACAATTTATTTTTTCCCGAAATGGTTTAAGTGCTCTCGTACAAATTGTGAAGTTAAAATTACAAAAATAAAATCAGTTTGGTAACAGTTGGGCTTAGCAACTGTATTGTGTTTGTGTTATAACATGCCACTTTAAATAAATAATTCACAGTAACAATCCTTCAAAGTCTTCTATGTAACTGGTGGTGGTTGAATGCCATACTGTGCCATACTTGTGTTTATGTTATAACATGCCAGGACTTTACTGAGTATTCACATAATTGGGACATACAAAACATACAAAAAGGAGAACTTTAACATACAGGTGACAGGAGGTCCACTCAACTTCCATGGTGCACCTTAAATAAGGAGCCATAGACCACAAAATAATACAAAAAATAAACAATACTTAAGTAAACTTATGATAAACATTAGCAGTAATTAATTGAAAGAAAAAATGTAAATAGATCAAATTATTTTTAAGCAAATAATCAACGAATAATCATGTTAAACCATAAATAATTACCAAAAATCATGCATTTTAAGTAAATATTAAATCAACCTAAATAAGAATAATTATCTCAGTAATGAATAAATGACAAAATTCGGTTTAGGCTTCCACAAAGGTGATGACCTGAAGAAGATCCGCTGACTGAAACGTTGTCATTCATTAAAAGCAGTTTGGGAGTACGTGTGCACTCTTTGTCTCACTTTCTATTTTCACTGTAGTAGCATTGCACCAGTGATGTGCGTGTACCTATACCTTTTGTGTCACCTCATCAAAAACAGACCTAGAGTTGTGTTTTTTTTCATTCACACATGATTTAAGCAATCATTTATTATTAGTCTGTCTACATCTCCCAAGTTCAAAATGCTGTGTTCCACCTTGTGATGTCATGAAGCGGTATTTTTCAAGTTAACAGTGAAGTGAAGGTGAATGGAGTTTAAAAACACACAGGAGCACTCTGCATTTTCAGTTTGAGAGAAGAACAACCTCATACAAGAAACCCTCCATTGTGTACTTCATGACATCACAAGTACGGGTGTGCAAAAATATTGAAATATCGATATATCATATTATTTAATGTGATGATACAGTGTCGATATCGTGGGCTGCTGTATCGATATATCACTAAGAGTATTTTTAGATATGTTTTACTAAATTATTTTGTTACAGTGCTACAGTGTTGTTGCTTGTTTAGAGAAAGGAAACTCGTTTATGTGACACATTTGACATTTTCACTGTTTTGATCATTAAAATGCTTGTGTTTCATGTTAACTTGGCACAAGAAGTGATTTAACAAAGACTTTTAGTATCACAGCCATGATTTAGCCTTTGTTTTTTGCTGAACCGTATCGAATCGATTTGAAATATATCTTATCGAACCGAAATTGTACTGTATCGAGATATATTTCGTATCATGGCCTATGTATCGAGGTATGTATCGTATTGGCAACTCCTTAACAATACCCAACTCGAATCACGAAGTGGAACAGAGCCTTTTGAGCTTTGGAGATGTAGACAAACTAATAATAAAAGGATTTCTCAAACACGTGTGAATGAAACAAAACACAACTCCGGATAAGGTCCAGAAATCACAATTATCGGATTTAGGTGTGCTTTTAAACATAGCTACTTTTATTTAAATTCCATAGATTTCTGGTGACACAGGCAGTTCTTATTTGTAAATTTTGTTGGAAAAAATTATCTTATTACCTTCATTTGATCTTCAATTGGGCATTTTTCGTTTTTTTTTTTTTATTGTGAATGTAAAACCAAGAATTGTTTTGATTGACTGATTTTTATTACCAAACAAAAGATGCATAAGTTATGATGAAAATAAAGTAGTATTTTCCGTGTCTGTGTGATATTTTTTTGTCCAGTCTCAACACAACACACAAAACAAAATCACAACAACAAACGAAAACGCTAACGAGGCTAATGCGCAACTCAACAGGCTCGAAAACAAACTAATCACTTACAAACGCTAAATCTTTTTTTCTGCGGTTTATAAAAATTAATTTACTTTGAGAAATTAAATACACAACAGTAGAACAGCTTAAAGTACCTTTTTCGTCGATTCCAGTGCATATCCGGTTTAGAGCTGAGAAATACTGCCACCTAGCGATGATTTGCATTTACTACATTTGCTTTTTAATCATAAACTGTATGTGGAAGATTTATTTATACAGTCTAACTTGAAGTAATTATAATAATGATGATAAAATTGCTTAAATATGTTGCATTTACGTTTTACAATTTGATGATGGGAACTGGTCTATGTAACTCTATGGGAGATTCTTTGTTTTTGAAAGAAATATCCAAAATTATAATCCCCACATGCTGAACCTTCTCATTATTTGTTAAGGAGTGGTTCAACTTGGCCCAAAGTCCTTTCAACAATCATATCTTTGGAGCTGAATAATGGCACTACTTTCTGAAGCTATCGTGTAAAAATAATTAAACTTTTTCTTATTTATATTGACAGAGAAGACGCTGAACTTTGTGCCAGTTTTTGTTTAAAGTTGATAGATCCAGTAATTATAAAGATATTAACCATAAACCAGGTTAAAAAAATCTACAATCTGACAGTTAAATGGCAAATTCCACCATTTTAAACACAACTCTTCACTGAATGAGCAATTAAAAGTGAAATATTTATGTTTATTTGTGTTTTAACACAGTGACGCCATTATCAATTACATATTCATACAATTTATTCTTTCCCATAATGGTTTAAGTGCTCTCATACAAATCGTGAAGTAAAAAATACAAAAATAAAAGCAGTTTTTTGGTAACAGTTGGGCTTAGCAACTGTATTGTGTTTGTGTTATAACATGCCACTTTAAATAAATAATATCACAGTATAACAATCCTTCAAAGTCTTCTATGTAACTTTTCTGGTGGTGGTGGTTGAATGCCATACTGTGGAACATTCCAGGCAATGTTAAAAACTGGTTTATTGGTGGGTTAAAAAGATTACTTTAAATATTGTGTTGCGTTGTGTGTGCATTTTTGTTTCATTTGGATATAGACCCACCTTATGCAAAGAGGTATTTTATCATAAACAGGCTTAAAAAATGCACATTTTCACTAAAATTTGCACTTTTCTTGTCTCCATCGAGATTGCTTTACACTGGATTACTGCTTTGCTTAATGTTCCAGAAGTAGAGCATTAAACTTGACAAAAAAAAGCAGGTGACATTACCAAACTAAGTTACAGCTCACAGTAAGAATTTGCAATAAAAACACCTGTACCGTAATTAAATTAATCCAAAATAGACAGTTTTAATTAATCCCATAACATGGACCATCCCAGGCAAAGTGTTAAAATCTCCATTGTAACAAACCTTCACCTGAAAAGTTACATAGTGTGTACCTTCAAATAATAACATAATGTAGTACCATATTTCAATCATTAACTTACAAATCGTGCCATATGTGTAGCAAAAGAAATCACATTTAAATTTTGATTTCAACTATTTCAATATTTTCGTCTTCGTTTTTCACTTCAGGCTCTGGTTCCACATCTTCTGATTCTTGGATACAAACGTGCGTATTCAGCTTGACTTTACTTTTAAACTTTTTACCACACGTTTTGCAGGTCAGAGCTTTATTTCCATCGTGAGTCCTTTTATGCTCGTTCAAACTGTAGTTGAACGAAAAAGTTTTATTACAAACATCACACGCGAACGGTTTGAGTCTCGTGTGTGTAACTTCGTGTCTTCTCAAAATTGTCATTCGTGCAAATCTCTGTCCACACTTCTCACATTCAAAAGGTTTCTCTCCCGTGTGTGTGAGTATGTGTCTCTTAAGATCTCCAGAAAGCCGGAAACTTTTACCACAAACTGCGCAATCGTAAGGCTGCTCCCCGGTATGAACGCGAACATGGGTCTTCAAATCGGTGGCCCACGCGAAAGTCTTGGAGCAAAATTCACAGCTGAAGGGTTTTTCGCCCGTGTGGACTCTCAAATGTCTGGTCAGATCACATTGTTGGAAGAAGCTTTTCTCACAGTATTCACAGATAAAAGGTTTGACTCCACTGTGTTGGAGTTTGTGTCTCTTTAAGTGTCCCGCTGTGGAGTAACTGGCTTCACATTCGTCACAGGAAAACATGGTCTGGGAATTCTGATGTTTGCCTTGAAGAAAACAGAAAGAAAAGGAAATAAGACACATTTATGACAACAACTAGCAATAAAACAATTCATATTAGATGCAGAAAAATCAGATACAGAGCCTTTAACTTCATTAGGGAGTATTGACAGAGAACATTATCTTTATTATCTTATTCACATCACAAAATCTGCATATTAACAATAATTTGTTTGTATTTTGAGTGTTAAAGTTTCATTAATTTCATGTATTTATTTGTTTATTTCCAGCAGATAATGAACACAGTAAGTAAGTATACATGGATCCAGTCACTTAATGTTCATTTCTCTTTTTTTTTTTTTTTTTCTTGTTTAGAGATAGACTTAGACAAACTTTACTGATCCACAAGGGACATAATTTGGACACAGCAGCTCATACATCACAATATAATACAATAACAAAGAGTATGGTAATAAAAAAATTCTAAATAAGTAGCAAAAAAGGTGGCAAGAGACAGGTGTCAATTAAGGCATAATTATATAAATGTTTATGTATAAGTCAAAATAAAATAGAAAAATAAGAAATCTCAGTTATATATAATTTGGAAAAGGAGTAGGAAGAAGAAAATATATTAAATTCCACTTCTGTCTTCAATAACATAAGCCATAATGAACATAATGTCATCTATAAACAGTTATTAATTAAGTATTGGGCATTTATAAACATTTCTGTGCAGTACTGAGGGTTTAAACTTGGCCCATAAGCACATATGTGTGTTAATAAATCGTGCAAACTAGTAAAATTATTATACAAAAAAATGCAACAATCTTCTGCTTGTGCAAAGCCAGATATTTATTGTAAATGCAGTCTAGTATTACCTGTGTATTAAAACAAAAGGCCTGCACCAATAAAACTAGCCGCTAATGCTAAATACATACCTTTTATTCTCCGTTTCCTTCTTTTAGTGACGATCAGTGACTAATTTTAAATAAATGATCATACGAAAGTTATAAAGCATGAATAAATATTAAATAAAGTTAAATGATATGGTGTTATTTGGGGTTTGTTTAGCGAGAGCGGAACTTCTTGTATTATCGGGACGAGCGCTTCCGTGTTGCTGCCCCCTACCGTACAAACATGGAATAGACAGAAGGAAAAAAAAATCTTATTTAATTAATGATTTTGTAATAATAATAAATTATATCCGTCGTAAAAAAAATAAAATAAATAATAATAATAATAAAAATAAATAAATAAAAAATTAAAACAACTATATATTGAGAGAAAATTAGCATTTACTGTTTTGGTCAATTATAAATACCGACATATATAGGTATCTAACCAAGAATTTGCATCACAGTGAAATCTTGGAGTTCATTTAAGTTTCACTAATTATGGTAGCTGTAATATTTTGAAAGTTCAGGGTTTAGGCTATAAAATAAATCTAATTTAAACAGATATGTCTTGACTAGGCACAAATATTAATTCAAGAGGTAAAATATGGGTTTCTTTGTAAAAAATTACCAAAAACATCCGACATGTCCATAAAAATGAAGTAACAATAAAAAATAAATAAGAACTGCACTCACATTCATTTAAATATACAATTTTATTAGCAAGCTGTTTAAATGTTTAAATACAGTATGTCAGAGCTAAATGCCCCAGTTTAACTTGGCAACATTTATCATGGCAAAATTGCAAACGGCTAATAACAGGAGTTTGCGATCTATGTGTCTAAGGAAGTTACATTATTAAAGAGTTTTCTTTTATCACAACAGTGATGCTACTGTACAGTAAAATGAAATAAAAAATATATAAATAAATTAACTTTGAGCGCTTGATTTGTTCAGTAAAAAAGCACTTTTGAAGTACATTTGTGAGCCAGTACCATAACAGTGAATGAGAAGCCAGTGTGTTCATAATTTGTCAGTATAATCTGTGAAAAAGTAAAGTTAGTGTCAAAAAAATAATCTGTTCCAGCAAAATGTCCTTTCCTTCATGCATCAGTTCAGCAAGACTACCAATAATCACACTGTTGTAACCTGTTTTATGCCAGATGCCCTACCCTATCCTGTATAATGAGTCTAGACTTCAATGTTAATGAGGAAGCAGGAAAATCTAATCTTTCCTTAAATTTGTGTTTTGCTGCTTCCAGTTTAGAATTTTTAAACATGACACTTCAAGCTAAACTAAGTGCTGATGTTCTAGTATCCCTGTAATAATTATATGGTATTTTTAAAAGATGTATCCCATTGAAATCAAAACAGGAATGAAGAATTATAAGATATCCAACAGGAATTTCTATAAATATTTAAAGGCACTGTACCTGATTTTCTCAAAGGATTCATTTTAAACCATTTGCAGTGGTCCAAAGTTATTCCTCACTTACCTTATGCATTCAGAGCATCTTAATTATTCACCGTGATGAGTTTATAAATGCTTTTCGCAACTCTCAGAGACTAGAGTGAGGTTTTGCCATGGCGGAAAGCTAACATCAACTAACACGCACTTCCTGATTATCAAGAGTATAAAACGCTTGATATTTTACGCAGAGAGCTCATAAACATGCGGACAAAAATCGGGTACAGGGCCTTAAACTTCATGAGGGGATAGTGACAGAAATCCATGTATCATTCGTTCAATCGTTTTAAACAACAGTTTTCTTCATTATTTGTCTTCAAACCAAAATGAAAAAAACGGAAAACGATTCATATTTTCAGTTTTCGATTTTGTGTTTAAATGAATAATGGAAAAAAATGATTAACGGCAGTTTTTTCTTTCCGTGACTTAAACTGCGATGCTGGACTTTTGTGCCGCATACGGACTGAACCAGGACTGAATCAGAACTAAAACAGGACTAAACTGTTTTCAGTCCTGGTCTCAGTCCGTATGTGGCCCAAAAGTCCAGCATTGCAGTTTAAGTCACGGAAACGGGACTTATCTGCATTTTCCATTATTCATTTAAACACAAAATCAAAAACTGAAAAAATAAATTGTTATCCATTTTTTCATTTTGGTTTTGGAGACAAATGTTTTTGTATATTTGATTTTAGATTGAAAAAAAAATGAACGAATGATACACGGATTTACAGGGTCCAATCTTTATATTAGAAATAATTATTTTGTATTTTGAGTGTTAATGTCATCTAAAAAGAGTTAATAAATATGTTGGAGATTCATGAACATTTCTAACTAATAGAAATCAATCCTCTGGCTCCTCTTTGATCTTAATATTTAGAAATTCCTGCTCCTCTGGATCTGACTCCTCTTTCATTTCTTGTTTCACGACAGTTTGAAATGCTTCTTGGTTTTCCTCTTCTTCTTCTAACTCAGCCTTAAGAGTTTTAAGTTTTGGATCAAATTTTTCATCTTGTTCCTCCTCCGAATCTTCCAAATCGGACCCATCCTCTGCCTCCTGTTTAACTACAGTTTCAGTCTGTTCTTGGTCCCCACTTGATTTCTGCTCCCCGGAAACGCCTTCAACAGCTGGTTCCTCCTCCTCCTCGTTTTTAACTTGCTTTTCTGGTGATTCCTCTTCCTCTTGTTGTTCGGCATCTTTTTGCTGTTTCGATTTGAACCTTGAGAAATTCCTAATCGGATTGGGATTTTGGGGCTTGCATTCCGGATGGTACCTCCTCATGTGGTAGGCGTAGGTCCCTCTTGTGTGGCTGATCTTACCGCATATTTCACATGGTATTACCGTCTCTTTATTGTGTGTAGTTTTGTGCGCTGCTAACAAATACGACGTCCTAAATGTTTTTTTGCATTGATCGCAATTGTAAGGTCTTTCACCGGTATGTAGACGGATATGCTCTTTGTAATGCGTGCTTCGGATGAAAGTTTTCCCACAGAATTCACAGCTGTACGGTTTTTCTCCCGTATGAAGTCTTTTGTGCATGTCGAGCGTGTACGAATGCGCAAACATCTGCCCACAATCTTCACAAGAGTAGGGTTTCTCTCCAGTGTGAATTCTTTCGTGAATTTTGAGTTTCTCCTCGCGCATAAACGTCTTCCCGCACTCGGTACATTTGAAAGGCTTCTCCCCCGAATGTATAATCATGTGTCTCCGAAGGTCGTGATTCTGCACAAACGCTTTATCACAAACTTCGCAGCTAAAAGGTCTGTTTCCCGTGTGGATCTGAATGTGGAGTTTGAGTTTCCGAGCGGTGGCGAATTCCTTGTGGCACAGGTCGCATCCGAACGGTTTCTCGCCAGTGTGGACCCTTAAATGTTTAGTCAAATCGTGATTCCAGTAAAACGACTTTCCACAGAATTCACAGCTAAAAGGTTTGTCCCCCGTGTGAAGGCGCTGGTGGTTTTTGAGGTTGGTCGGGGTGGAGTAGCTCTTCCCACATTGGTCGCAGGGAAACATGGTGAAGGTGGAACTGGCGAGATGGATCCAGGTTAATTTTTGCTTTTAATCTAAGAGGGAAAAGCAGAGATAAAGCAGTTAGTGATTACAGTTCAGTACAGTTATTCAAAATCAAGTTTTAATTGTTTAATTGTTTCAAAATCTAGTCATTTATAGTGAAAAAAAAAAAAAAAGAGCAAAATAATATTACCAATACAATAAAAACTGTCCTTTAATACTGATTTGATCTGTCGTTAAGGCCTCTACATAACATTTCTAAGGGTGCATTTGTTTTAGTATTAATAAAATACCCCTGGACATAGTGTTATCATGATAAATTTAAATACAGGTTAATTTTTTGCGTTCAATCTAAGAGGAAAAAGCAGAGACAAAGAAAACAGCAATGACAGTTTAGTACAGTTATTCAAAATTAAGTTGAAATTGTTTAATTAAAATGTAGTAATTCCTGGTTAAAAAAATAATTATGAGCACACAATTACAAATACAATGTCCTTTAATAAGTACTCATACAATTATAATTATTTTTGTTTCTTTAATGTTACCATTTGGTCAATAATTGCTGAGAATATAGTTCATACTAAAGTAGGGATGTAACAATAACCGAAATATCATGAAAACATATCATCAAATGTCTCACAATAATATCGTGGGCTGTCACAATATATATCGAATTATAAAATCCTTCGCTTAAATGCATGGTTTTATAATAGCAACAGCTTATAAACATAGGGAACTACATATCCCATGATTCATTTCTGTGCAGACAACCTGAAGAAATATGTTTTTTACTTGAATTCTTGGGATTATGATGGAAATAATTCACACCAAATTCTTGTCAAGGTATTTTAAAAGCAAAAAAGTATCCCATCTACAATTATATTAGCCTCATCTAAATATCAATAAATATCATACCGTGAGATTTGGATATTGTTACATCCCTGTTCTAAAGCCATATTCAAGAAAGGTAAAATTTTGTGCGATTTCTTCAGTATAGAAACTTGTTAAAATCTAGTTTTGATACAATTTTTTCTTTCTTTCTAACAGACTTATCGGGACTTGAATACTGGTTAAAAAATTTATCAAATTCCTGAGATAAAATTTTCTTTGGGACAGTAAAACATCTGAAACTGACAAGACTGACTTCACAATAAAGTAGGTACTGATTGTCCAGTTTACTCAAGCCACACCTCTTAATTTGACTAACAAAATAGCCAGACTAATTTAGACCTGCTGCACAGTAACAACAGTCTGGAGTGCTTTTAACAAAATATTAACTGTATTTTGTGATTTCTTTGTTTGTCTTAAATTATGAAATGTGTTTTATGATCGTTTACATATCAAAGTCTGTCTGATAACGAGGCCAATGCATAAAACACAGTCATAAAAAGGTGTCTTTGCAGCTCAGAATAACGGACACACTTTAGCATGACACTAATTAAAATAGGCCTATCGTGTTCAACAGAAAAACTCTAAAAATACCACATTTCACAGTTAAAATAGATCATTGTTAATTATCAATATTTACCTTTTGCACAGCTGGATAAGGGCTAGCGGCTAATGCTAAACAAAGAGGCAGCTTTAGGTTTTGACGGGAAAAATATCGTCTTCTTCTGCAAAATCTAGTACGCTATGCATCTCTAATGTGCATAATTGTATTCATTTATATGTACGATATCTACATAATTAGAGAATAATAGCGATTTTATTTTACTTTTGCTGGATGCGACAAATTAATCTGACTAGTTGCCAAAAAGCTACGACCGGAAGCTGCATCCTCAATTTCCGGAATCAAGTGTCATCTACTTTAAATTTTATTCTGAAAATAAAATATTAATTTAGCTATTGTATATTTAATGAACAAGAGTCTTTTTTCAAGCAATAATAATCACAAATATGTTAATTTAAAATATTATAATAAATAAAATTAAACTCCGCTCCGTATTTCGAACAGTGTGCGGTGCAATACTGCCATCTGCTGGTGACTTTAGACTTTACATCAAAAACTATTACTTGAAACGTATGTAAGTTTAAGATTTGGACGTTTTAACAATTTGTTGTGTTGCTTGATTAATTACATACGATTTTTGATACATGTTAAATAAATATAATGATTTTGTTTTGCATCTTTTTGCGATTAAATTTAAATTATAATTATATACTAAATAAAAAAAATATGTTAGAAGTTGTCTCATTTGGACTTAAAGATTATGAGAGGAGCTGACACCATTAAGTTTAATTTATTATTATTTGATTTTTTTCTGTTTATAATTATATACCTAAATGTAATATTATACCTTAAAGACACTGAAAGCAATACATAAAAACACGTTTCATACAATAAGAAGCCACTTTATTTCTTGACAGTAACAAGTGCTTCAACAAAACCATTATGTACAGTGTGTTGTTTTGAAATTCTGTAAAAGGAAGGTTGTTTTGTGAACCTGAAAATCTGTTATTCAACTAGTACACTGTTCTTTGGCCCTGGATAGTTACAACAGGCTATCAGCTGCAGTCAAAGTAGTGTGTCCATGTCACTGAGGTATTAAATCCGAAAACGTTGCATTCAAAAGTATTAGGACAACACAAGCAATTCACATTCTCCATATCAGATTATATTAACGTCCCTTAGACAAATACGCACATATCAGGCCACTGTTCACAGCAGCAGGACCGATTCTACTACACTTGCAAAAGAAATGTCTCCAGATAATTAAAATGACTTGAATTCAAAAGCTATGTCATTCATTATTCTGCTTGGATTGTTCCACAGTGTGACATTAAACAGTTCTAACTTACATTTATTCAATTATAGGTAGTTTTATAGCTTAAAAATACCTAGAAAAACAGGCATCCTAACTAACTTGGTCTGATTTGGTCGCCATGATGATAGAAAGGTTTATGCCATACTGTGAAACATTCCAGACAAAGCGATAACATATCCACGAAGGAAAGCATTTGATGGACCCTCCACTAAAAAAACAAAACCTTTAAATTTTGTAGTTATGACGTTGTAGTTTATTTTACAATGACTAAGAGGTTGGTAGTTTGATGCACATATTATTGTTGTGTCCTTTAGCAAAGCACTTCAACCATCTTGCCAAATGTTCAGAGGTGTTGAGTTAATAAAGGATTAGGTGGTGGTTAGTGCAATTTACATTTTAAAGCTTTTTGGGGTCTTAATCCAAGTCAGTATAACTGGATTTAACAACAACAATATTTACTGGTTTCATGGATTAGTTTCACAAAAAATCTAAGTCGATTCAAATAAAATAGAAAACTCAAATTTCACTAAAGTATATTAAACAATCTCAGCATAAATACTAGACAAATTTTAACTATTAAACAATTGTGAAATTAAGTTCTGAATTGAAGTCATTTTAACATATTTCGATACTTTCTGCAGTGCACTTATCTTAAACTAAACATAAACATAAATAAAGGCCTTTGTTTGGCTTGAGATCCATGGATATTTAACTTTACTTTACACCACAGTAATAGCACGGTAACAACATGGTAATAACTAAAAGTGCATTAAGGTATATACATGCTAATTACCAATGGGACCAGAGCAAGTCTACTGTACTTCGTAGTAATATGACTAAAGCAGACCTAAAATAGACTTTTAAGCACTTTTAAAAATGTTGTACTAGTTTCCCCTTCTCATTTTCCCTTTCGAAATTGAGCGTGTTTTGAATAATGTTTAAAAGTGGATTGCGTCATTATGGATATTTGAGATCGTGTTATAGTTGTTTCTCTTCTTTCGAAGTTGTATTTGGGAATGATTCGTTTTAGATTTTCAAGGCCACCACTGGTACACGCCCACTGCTCTGTACCTACTTCGTTCTCTAATTTAATTTTCTTAAATCAGTGATACACGTAGAATTCGACAGCGTTGTGTAGTAATTTTGGTACAAATTTTAAAAAGTCTGCTCCTGTAGCTACCATCGGAGTTGCTGACACTTTGTTGTGATGTTATGACGTTTCTGTCAACATCGGCTCCCATTGGGCACCACAATTTTTTACTCAAAAATCAGTGGACTTGATTCTTTTATTACGTAGTTTTAGACAATGATCACTTTTGTAAAAATACAGACGCAATCATTGTCTAAATAAGTAGTTTTAGACGATAATCACTTCTGTATTTATGTGCAACATAAAGTAATTTGCAATTTGACCGATTGTGTCAACGTGTAGTCATGTTTTTACTCATATTTTTAATGTTCAAAAAGACAAAACTACCAGTGCAAAATATCAGATGAATTATTCTATTATATTATACCGATATCTGAGAAAACCCTCCAATATCAATGAGCCAGACGCAGATATCCTAAATCCATAACAGTCATTCCATTTCCCGTGCTATTCCCACTCTATTCCCATGTTATTACTGTGTTATAAAGTAAAGCGTGACCACTACTATAATAAAACATACTAAAACAACTACTCCTCCTCGTCCAGTGCGTTCGTCGCCCCCTGTAGTCGGGCGATGGCAGCGCTTTGGGTGGGCGCGTTGGTGAAAACAGTTCCTACAAACATGGGCGTCCCTCTGAGGATGTGTCTGATCACTGTACAGGACGCGGAGACCTCGATGTGAAAGCCCAGGTTCCTCAGCTCCTCCTCAGTGCTCAGGGGGGTTTGACTCGACGTAGAAGCGAAAAACTGGAAAGACAAAACACAAATTAAGCTGGAAATAGTACTAGAAAAAAGAAATCAACTGTACTCGAAAACCTTTTTGTATTGTATTTATTTTAATGTTCAAATTTAAACTTAAACGTGTAACTTTTTTGGTACGAGTCCAGCACTTGATTGTGTTCATGAAGATATTTTAGGGAGATTTCTTTCCTTGGAATGTACCACAGTATGGCATTAAACTGGCTTATTATGTAATTACAGGTGTTTTTTTGTAAGATGGGCCCGTCTCTCCACAAACCTGACCTCTAAATTGGCCTGGTGCTTGTCTCCATGGAAATAGAAACATTAAATATCCTAAAAGAGTGAAACCGTCCAGGCAAAGCAACAACATTTCCATGGTAATGGACACTTCACCTGGAAAGTGCACAGTGCACAGTGCACCTTTGATACTACACGACATGTCTAAAGTTTGCTTTGTTTATTTTTTTCTTACTACTTTCTAGATTTTAGATACAAAACAGAAGAACTCAAATATATGAAGTAAGATATATAGAATTTTGTTTTTTGTAAAGAAAAAGTTAAATAAATCTACTAAATGTTTTTCGACAAAGCAAACAGTGGCTAATTTGAGGATTTAGTCTTTTTTTTTTTCTTATTCAATATTTTACATTTAAGTCAATTAAGAACACTTTCTTATTTGAAGAGAAAATACTCTGGGTTGAGTTTTAAAAGTCGACATTGGTAAAAACGAACTGAGTTTTGTTTCATTCACACATGTTTAAAATACAAACCTGCATATTTTTATGTTAAGAAAACACTTTGTGATGTCATTTGGTAATATACAAGGAGTGCGCCACTGTGTTTTTAAACTCCGTACAACTTCACTAGAATCATTTGGATAATTTCTGCCCTGGAATTGACAATCAAAAAGTACAAAACAAAAAGTAAAAGGTAGCTGTATACATGAAAACTACCGCTTCATGACATCATAAGGTGGAATAGAGCATTTTAAGCTTTGGAGATGTAGACAAACTAATAATAAAGAGTTACTCAAACATGTTTGAATGAAACAAAATGCAAGTCCAGGTCTGTTTTTGAGGAGGCAACAACATTATAAAGCTCATAAGAGTAAAATTTTGCATAATAGAGGACCTTTAATCAAATAATAAATAATCAAACACAAATAGTCTTAACATTTTGCTTTAAAGCTAAACAAAAGTAGGTATGTATGACAAGTAAACTAATAAGGAATTACTCTTAACTATTTATAACTATGCATAAGGACAAACTCTTGTACTTACAGCTGCTCCTGTTGTTGGGTCTATGAAGTCTGCCCAGTACCCGGCCGTCCATAGAGCGAAACACATTTCTTTAGCACCATTTACAAACTGAAAAACAAAACAAACAAAAAAACTGTAAACCTACCTGTGTAATGTTTCTGGTAGAGGGTTCATCACTTCAACTCCTGAAATGATCTACAGTATGGACCATCACAAAATATTGATTTAAAAATGTTTAATTAGGATTATCCTGCTTGATTTTAATATTAATCGGTGGCATAAATTTGTTTCAGTATTAAAATTTATCGTTTAGTTTTTCTGTAGCAGCGTATAGAGCTTCAAAATTTCTTTCAGAAGCCAGATCTCATATATTATTACAAGTTGTACGATCAAAGTCATAAAAAGTCACTCCACACTTTCTCTTCTTCAGTTTCCCGAAAGTTTGAAGGACTCACTCGGTCGAACAGCTGGGCATCGTCCTGCCGCGCATCGTCACGGCGACCGCTCTTCTGTGTGACGGTTACTACGGTGATGGCGGAGGGGGGCACTGACGGGAACATCAACTCCAGGTCTGAAAGAGAAAAAGAGAAAGGGGCATGAAACAGACGATATAAACGAAGTATATCAACTTTATTATCTTCGTAATGAAAATAAATAGGGCAGGGCAAAAATTTAAAAATCGCATGAGTTCCAGTGATCAATCATGATTAATCGCATGTTAAATGCAAAACCAATTAATGAATTAAAAAGTAGCGTATAGCGCACTTTTATTGGAATTGTAAACAAAAGTGCCACAGCAGCAGGACACTAGTCTATAACATCCATGTTTATACTTCTTCCTTTGGAGAATCTCACTCAAAAAAAGAACCAATTTCAGTGCAGTTTGTCAATTCCTAAAATTTGACTTAATGAAGTGAATTCAAAAGTAAAGTTCATGTGATCAGCAGCAGTAAAATAAAGTATTCAGTGTAAATCTCAACTGAAAAAAATCAAATCAAACCAAATACAAAACTGAAATGTATTGCCACTGCCAGGGCTTTAATGTTATCCTGTTTGATATAAAAATGAGAATCTAAATTATACAATAAATTAACATAAATTAATAAGAGGGTCTAATTCTGAGACCCTAAAACCCCTGGGGCCCGCACAACAGACCAATTTGTCCCCCCGTGTCTACTGCCCTGACTGACACCACGACCCAACAAAAGTGAACTCCTATGAGATATAAAAAGCACTTTATTTGTTGGTTTGGTGTAGACTGAAATGAAATTAACTATTTTTTTCCATGTTTATTATAATTTTTTTGTTTTCTTTTGTTGTTTTGTGCATCTCATGTGGCTGTTTTGTTTAAATTACTGACCTCTAGCTCGGGAAACAGTTGGCCTGTGCAAACAGTCATAGTTATATTTATATAGTTGGTTAAATAAAAACTTCACCGAGAGGTCGAGGAGTTGAAACAACAGCAGGCTCTGTCCCGGTCTTACTGTTGTGACTTTAACAATGTGAATAAATAAACCATGAATGTCTACCCTGCTCTTCAGCCCCATACCCTCCTACACTCTCCAGTCTAATGAAGCCTACACACCAAAAAAGTACATCTATAATAAAAAATTATCATCTGTTAAATCAAGAAACCAAAAATGTCAGGTTTTATACATTTCCATAAATATTTTAGACCACTTTTGCTATTTTAATTCTGTTCATTAAATTTATAAAAGGTCAAATTAGCCCTTATGTACTTAACATATGTCTATAATATTTAATAGTAATGATACACGCTTTTATTTTGGTAACTTCCTGTAAGATCGGAAGTAACAGGTAAACGGAAAAAAGGTGAATATACAGAAAAGCAGCAAAGTAAACACAACTATAGTTAACAGTGAAAAATGCAAAACTACAGTGAAAAGTTATAAAAATCCAAAGATAGGAGTTTATTTATAAATGTGCATTTGAGCAACAATTTTACTTGTAAATTAATGTTCCTTGTGAGATTTTTTTCCTCCTGAATTTACCTTTGGCTTGGCCAGAAAAAGAGTTTAAGAGCTGGCACAATTTAAGAAGCTCTAGTTCCAAAAAGCAGTAGACAAGGATAAAGAAGTGTTACATAAAATAAATAAAAATAGTGAATCCAAAATTGTGAAGTGCTTATTGTTATGTTATTATTCTTATTTATTACGAATTATGTCAAAATCTCATGTCTCATGTCTCGTGAAAATTGTGTCTCGTCCCATCCCAAATTACTATATAGTTATATTTTATTTTTACTTGTACATACACGTTTATATAATTATGCCTTATTTGACGCCTGTCTCTTGCTATTTTGAATTTATTATTACCATTTTTATTGTTGCTTTTGTTATTATAATATATTGCTATGTTTATTTTGTATATTGTGTGTTTGTTTATTTTTTGTGACCTCGCTGACCCTTGCTGAGCCAACAGTAAAATCTGGTTGGTGAATAAAACAAATGTACACAGACCTTTTCTTAGCAGCTCTGGACAGGAGTTTATGGAACAGTCTGTCTCTGTTTGGCTAAAATAATGATCTGCTTTCTGGACTCTTGTGGCGACTGGACCAAGTTTGCCCTGTGAGACAAAAAAACACAACATTTATTACAAATATTTTCCATGTTTAGTTAATTTTAGTTATGGCTTAATTGAAATATAATCTAAATTTGAATGGCTGAAACTAGCAATATTGGCAGTTTCTTCTGTATAAAACCTGCCAAGTCTATAGATTCTTGTATTAGTTTAGCAGTTTCAGCAATTTCAGTCTTCTCTTAAAGGTGCACTGCGTAACTTTCTAGTATAGAGGGTCTGCTACCTGCTTGTCTCCATGGGAATGTTATTGCTTTGTCTAGAATGTTCCACAGTATAGATTAAATCCATCTATTATGAGGGAGACATGCAGGTTACAGCTCTAGGAACAGCAGAAGTAATTATTGTATTTTTGAGTAATAAAAACATCCATAATGAATAAATCCTAGATGGAAATATTTAATGTCACATCATGGAACATTTCAGGGAAAGCAAGAAAGCAAGTAACATCGCCATGGAGACAAGCAGGTAGCAGACCCTCCTCTAGAAAAGTTGCGCAGTGCTTATTTGCAATTTTTAAAAAATAAGCAAATTTCGAAAGCAATTTCAAAATTCTACGTAAGACTTATTTTACCCGTAACTTACAGGACACGTTCACAATTAGTAACCAATCTTAACAAATCGCAAAAATTCAGTATTTGAAAACTTTTAAAGCCAATAACACCGAATAATATACCCAATTATCACAATAATGGTTTAATAGACTTTCAAAATTAAATCAGGCCTAATTTGTTTTACATTTCTGGTTCTCAAACTCACATGAAACTCATTGACGAACTGTGCGAGGACAAAATGGTGCCTCTCTGAACTGCTGGGCGCTGTGAGGACATCAGGGACAGTTTTGTGAACATTCTGTGGCGTTTTCTTGTTTGGGCTCAGTCCCTCCAGGTGACAGTCAAACCCTACGTTGCCTGGTAATTGAAAACGCTGGTCCTGAGGTCCGAAGGGTCCCATGCTCTCGTCTGGCCACACTGTTCTTTGGCCTGGAGCAAAAAAAATAAATGAATAAATATTACAAAACAGATATTATTGGTGGTTTTCAGATTTTAGAATGTGGTGACGTAATACTCCAAAAGTATATGCAGAAATGTTGAACCTGATTATTTGAAATCAACACGGAAAGACATTTTTATTTAGTTTTTTGAAAAGATGAAATAAAACTGAATCAAAAATTAAGCTCACACAATCAATGAGAAAAAAAGTGATCATATTTATATATTTTTTTGCCATAATTGCCAAGCTCTAATAGAATAATTGACGCATAAAAAACGATATGCTTGCCCTAGTTTCTTGTTGTGACTTGTTGCTGCGGCTCTAGTTAAGACCTTGTGTAATCACTGTTCCAGTAACGGGAAAGAACAGGGTGTGAATGAGGATCCACAAGATTTAGGATGATCCGGTGGTGTTTGTAAAGACAGTTTCTTTATACGAATGATTTTATGAACTGTAACATCAGCCTACCCAGAAACTACAGGTGGGAATGAGCACTAGTGTTGCAATTAGGGATGGGACAATAAACAATAATATAATTTATCGTGATAAAAGGGTCAATAATAAGCAATAATCATTCATGGGACATTTCATATAATTGTGATAATCCCCAACAAAGATATTCACCATTATATCACCAGAATATGCGGAAAAAAAGCTTCTTATCCATCATGATCTCCGCTAAATCATAGTTGTTTTCACTCATAACAAGTACAATTATATAAAAGTTGTTTAAATCTGACATTAAAATTATAATTATTCATATCCATAACATTTTACTTAGACTTTATTGATCCACAAGGGAAATTATGTGGACACAGTAGTTCACTCATCACAAAATATTATAATAACAAAGAGTAAAAAATATGAATGGTAATAATAAATTCTAAATAAAAAGCAAAAAAGATAGAAAGAGAATTTTTAAATGTCTGCAACTTTAATAATTATCGTAATATAATCACATGATAATTGTGACACCAAATTTCAATCTTGTCCCATGCCGAGCTGCAACCAGGTACAAAGAATCTCTCCATTTAGGGTTAATGTATATCATGCACTGTCCTGGTCTTGTTAAATAAATAAACTAAACTAAATTATTGAGTATTGTACCTGAGTCTGCGGGTGATGCGGCGATATAAGGCTCGTCTGAACTCGCAGCAGAAAAAGTTCTAGTTTTCGTGACCCTGAGGGAGGCCAGAGTCTGACATCCTGTGGCCTTTGAGACGACCAACCGCCGGCCACCACAAAGCACCTGCAAATAACCCACACACACGAAGAAGAAGATCACATTTATGTAGAAATAGTGTTATCATGGTACTAAAACTTCAACTTCAAACTTTATTTCGACACCAAGAAAGGCTGAACCATTTGGACCAAAAATCTGAATTGCATTATTGTGAAAAGCATTGCAATGGAGATGAGATTCGTTATTAAAGGTGCATTGTGTAACTTTTCTGGTGCAGGGTCCGTCAAATGCTTTTCTCCATGGAGATGTTATTGCTTTGTCTGGAATGTTTCACAGTATGGCATTGAAACTCTATATCTTCATGGAGACCAAACCAGACCAAGTTACAGGTCAGATCATTTTGAGCAATAATTGTAATTATGACTAAATAAATGTATGGTCGAGCTGTTTAATGTCATATTGTGGAACATTCTAAGCAGAGCAATAACATTCATAGAAACAAGAAAGTGACAGAGCCCCAAACAAAACATTACATAGTACAGAGAAAATTAAAAATTTTGAGAATTTACAAAATACTAAAATAAGAAATCATAAGCATAACATGTCAGAATCACATTACAGAACATTTTGTACAGATCTTTCACACAGTTTTATGCAGAATAAGATAAGATGTTTGATTGTTTGTAGAGGAAATTATTGCGCTTAGCCTTTACCTTATACAAAATGATAAGCTTGATACTTGTTACTGATCTGTTACAGTGCGGTCTCATTAACTCTGACAAAGCTCAAAGATATGCTAAAACTGTGGCAAAGGTCAACTTTTGTCTTGTTTATTTATGTGACTTTTTATGTCAATATTTAAAATCAGTAGTATCTAGGTTTAGTATTGATTCAATCAGACTTTTTTTTTTTTTACGCATTTGAAAACCCTATGTGGAAATTTAACATATTTTTGTCAATGCATTACACTTAACATCCCTCCAACACATTCACACTAAACTGTTTGCACAATTAAAAGATTGAGAAATAAATACTGGCAATATGTAATCCAAATATCCAGGAATTCAAACATCGCACAATAATAGGAAATAAAAATCTGCAGTTTACATAAAATAAAATATACCAAACCATGAATCTACAAAACTATTTGAGGCAAACTAGTATGGTAGAACAGCTTTGCATGAATGTAACTACTTATTTTATACTCATAAACAACATTACAAATAAAAAATTTTAATTATTTTTTCCAACTAAGAGAAAAAACCTGTACACATGCTTTTAAAGCCAGTATGGTCTGTCAGATTAAAGCTTCAAACTATATTTAAGTTATTGAAAAAATATAATAATAACATGACAATTTATTACAAAAATTAAAAGTAAATTAAAATCTGCAATTTACACGAGATGAAAAACACCAAACCATTAATCCACAACTATCTACACTATATGAGGCAAATTTACTAGTATAAATAATTAGCACGTTAGAACACCTTTGTATGAATGAATCTATTTTATTTAATATCAAAACAACATAAAATATAAATACAGATATAAATAATTTCTCCATCTGGCAGAAGACACCTGTTTCAAGCACATGTTTCAAGGTATTTCGGGTCAGATTAACGCTTCAAACTACATATAAATTGAAAAAACGTAACTATATTGTACGATTAATAAGTAAAATATTATTCTATAGTAATTTATCGTGTATTTTAAGAGAGGGTTTACATTTAAAGCTGAAAAATGTTGCTACTACGTTACAATTTAGTGGCTTGTAATGGCTGCTTTGACTCACCGTAGTGGACATCGTGGTTGGCCTTTCTCTGTCTATTAATATTACACCTACGGGGAATGAAAACAAACTCGGTTACGCAATTAAACGACAACATGAGGATAAAATGTCAAAACACTGTAACCCGGAGTTTAAACGTGACTTAACGCGAGCCAAACGTGGAAATGTGACTAAAAACATGACATGATGCAACATTTCTGCACGCGGTGTGCACTTTTGACAATGCATAATGGTTAAAAAAGATTGCAAATACGTACGCGAAACACTGCAAACGCGATTAAATCTTAAGATATGTTGTGTAAATAAAGCAGATGTTACAAAAGTTATGCTAAGCTAAGAGGTCAGCTGATAGTTGTTTTGACACTTCCACTTCGTGACAATAACAGAGAAAACTACAAATACAAGCTCGATTTCACGCTTTTAAAACAATGACACGCAAATAACAACATAAGACGTGTCATATATGGTTAAATGTGTTAAATCTGAATTGTTTAACATTGTTATTTTGTTAAAAGTACGCACTGTTCTTACCTTTTGAGGTCGAAGCAGCCTCTTACGTATTAGCCTTTCACTTAGCTGCCTACAGGAAGAGTCGAGGGACAAACATGGACACGCGCTTTTTGTAAAAACGTGTAAATATTAGTTTTCAATATGTTACAGTTATTCGTAAAATAATATCTGGAAAATAGTCACATTTCACCAATATCGCAGCCTCTAAAAGCTAAAGTTACGAGTATAAAGTAATAAAGCAATTTTTTTTATTTTAAATGTATTGTTTGATCTGCATTTCTGTTTATTGGCCACAAGAGGGCAGCAAAACCAAGCAAACAGAATATGATTAGTTGAGTTCTGGTTCAGCTGTGGATTTGTCCAGGCATAGTCCCAGTTTGCACCTGTTTTAGTCCCATTTTAGACCTGGTTTAGTCCCAGTTTAGACCTAATGTAGATATAGTTTAGGCCTGGTTTAGTCCTAGTTTAGGCCTGGTTTAGTTCTAGTTAAACCTGATGTAGATATATTTTAGACCTGGTTTAGTCCCTGTTTAGACTTAATGTAGTTCTAGTTTAGACTTTGTTTAGTCACAGTTTGGATCTGATTTGTAGGCTAGTTCTAGTTTATATGTTTTTTAGTGCCAGTTTATACCTGGTTTAGTCCCAGTTAGGCCTTGTTTAATCCTGGTTTAGTACTGGTTTTTAGTCCTATTTAGACCTGGTTTAGTCCTGGTTTAGACCTGGTTTAGTTTAATCCAATTTAGACCTGGTTTAGTCCTCCATCCATCCATTTTCTTTTACTTATCCAGGGCCGGGTCACGGGGGCAGCAGTCTAAGCAAGGACTCCCAGACTTCCTTCACCCCAGACACTTCCTCCAGCTCCTTCGGGTGGACCCCGAGGTGTTCCCAGGCCAACCCAGAGACATAGTCCCTCCAGTGTGTCCTGGGTCTTCCCTGGGGCCTCCTCCCGGTCGGACATGCCCAAAACACCTCCTGAGGGAGACGCCCAGGAGGCATCCGGAACAGATGCTCGAGCCACTTCAGCTGGCTCCTCTCGACGTGGTTTAGACCTGGTTTAGTCTTAGTTTAGTTTAGTTCTTTTTAGACTTGGTTTAGTCTTAGTTTTGTTTAGTGCTTTTTAGACTTGGTTTAGTCTTAGTTTAGTTTAGTCCTATTTAGACCTAGTTTAGTCCCAGTTAGTCCTGGTTTAGTCCTGGTACAGGTTTAGTCCTATTTAGACTTGATTTAGTCCCATTTAGACCTGGATTAGTCATAGTTTAGTTCAGTCATATTTAGACCTAGTTTAGTTCCAGTTAGAACTGGTTTAGTCCTGGTTTATTTTATTGGTATTTAGACCTGGTTTAGTCCTGGTTTAGTTCTAGTAAGAGATCATCTCCAGATCAGATACTGTTTACTTGTCAAAATGCACATATATTGGTTTATGGTAAATCTCTTCAGACTTCATTAGTTTAATCCCACATTGCAGACTATTCCATTCCCGGCAAAGCAATCATTTCCACAGAAACCCCCAAACGGAAAAGCTACATAGTGCACCTTTAAGCCACAATATACTGTCTGAGTAGCGCATCCAACAAAATCACATTACCCTGCTGCATATATAGCCTCATATCTGACCCTAGAGTGGACCGATGATTGACAGTTCCTCAGAGCAGACAGGAAGTGCGGCGGGACTGTGACCACCGTGTTGTAAATGTGTGTGTGTTTTTAGAGCTACGTGATGATCGGGGGACCTGACATGGGCCTATAGATGTCAGCGTTACACCAACCACTCAGGACAGCGCCCCCCATGGGACAAACAGCATCAGTGAGCGGGCAGCAACTGAATTTTTTATCTCTCCACCGCTCCCTATAGTCTTGTTATGGTTGAAAGATGGACGGCTTGGTTACAAAAATAGATACTGTTTTGATTTTATATGATTGATTAAAGGGCCCATGATACGCCATTTTCCGATGTATATTATAATGTTGTTTTTCATCGCGAACAGACCTGGAGTTGTGTTTTGTTTCATTCACACGTTTTTCAGACGAGTATTTCAGAATTATTTGGATAATTTCAGCTCAAGATTTTCCAATCGCTACTGAAGTAAAGGTGGATCAGAGCATTTTGAGCTTTGGAGATGTAGAGAGACTAATAATAAAGAGTTACTCAAACATTGTGTGGATGAAACAAAACACAATTCCATGTTTGTTTTTGAGGTGTAAAAACATTATAACATGACTAAGAAATCTGTGTATCATTCATTCATTCATTTTTCAAAATAAAACCAAATTTGTTTATTCAGTTTTTGATGTTTTTGTTTAAATTAACAATGGAAAAAAAAATAACGGCCGTTTCCTTGTTTACGTGACTTAAACTGTGATGCTGGACTGAACCAGGACTAAACCAGGTCCAGGATCAGACCAGAACCAGACTGGGCTTGAGACCGGGACTGAGACCTGGGAACAGGATCAGACTGAGACCAGGACTGAGACCGGGACTGAGACCGGGACCAGACCATGACCAGACCAGGACTGAGACTGGGACTGAGATCAGGACCAGAATGGGACCAGACCAGGACTGAGACTGGGACTGAGACCAGGACCAGACCGGGACCAGACCAGGACCAGACCGTGATTGAGACCGTGTTTGAGACCGGGACTGAGACCGGGACTGAGACCGGGACTGAGACCTGGGACTGAGACTGAGACTGAGACCAATCCAGGCCTGAAAACGGTTTAGTCCTGGTTTAGTCCTGGTTTAGTCCTGGTTTAGTCCTGGATTAGTCCTGTTTCAGTCTGTATGCGACGCAAAAGACTCGCAAAAGTCTTCGTTTAAGTCACGGAAACGGGAAGCGGTCGTTATTCATTTTTTTTCCATTATTCGTTTAAACACAAAATCGAAAACTGAAATAAAAAACATTTTTTCATTTACATTTTGGAGGCAAATAATGAGGAAAACTTGTTCTTTGATTTTCTTTTTTGTTTTTTTATTGAAAAAGGAATGAACGAATGATACACGGATTCTCCAGGGATGTTTGTGATAAAAGACAACATTAGAACATAGATCAGAAAATGGCATAACATGGATCATTTAATCTATAAGAAAAAGAATATATGTCATACCTGTAGACCCTGAACAGGAAATATATCTAATATCGCCAGTGTATTCTCATCTATTTTCTTCGCAATCTAAAGATGCCTTGTTCACAGTGGAAAATACTGTCTACTCTCTCTGGTATGTGCTGTTTTGTTCTATAGAAATCTTGCATTGCTACAAAATCCTTGAAACTGCTCTTGAGACAAATGACGCCTCTGTGATACTGCAAACCGAGCAACAAATCAGCTCTGTTGAGATTTACAGAAATACTGAGTGAAAACTATACAGGCCAGTGGTTCTTAAACTTTAGTTAGATAGATTTAGATACAAAAACATTATTCATGGACATTTTAAAAGGGAAGAGAACAAAATAATATAGTTTCCATACTTAAAAATACATTTAAAACACTAACCTTTTCACACTTTCCTCTAATCCTAGCAGAGACCTAGTTCAATCTTAAATCCTGGTTTAGTCCTGGTGTAGGTGTGACCTTATTTAGGTTTAGTTCTGATTCTGATGTGGTCTAATTCTGGATTAGTTCCACTATTTATTCCTGGTTTAGCCCTGGTTCAGTCCTGATTCAATCCTAGTTGAGTTCAGATTATGGCCTTGTTCTTGTTTAGTCCTGATTTAGTTCTGATTTAGCCCTGGTTTAATTCTGATTTAGGTCTGGTTAATATCTAGTTTAGTCCTGGTTTAGTCCTGATTTAAATCTGGTTTATTCCAGGTGTAGTCCAGGTTTAGTGCTGGTTTAAATCTGGTTTAGTCCTGTTTTAGTCCTAGTTCAGTCCTGGTTTAGTCCTGGTTTAGTGCTGGTTTAGATCTGGGTTAGATCTGGTTTAGTCCTGATTTAGTTCTGTTTTAGATTTGGTTTAGTCCTGGTTTAGATCTGGTTTAGTCCTGTTTTATATCTGATTTAGTCCTAGTTTAGATCTGGTTCAGTCCTAGTTCAGTGCTGGTTTATTCCTGGTTTAGTTCTGGTTTAGATCTGGTTTAGCCCCATTTTGGCCCTGGTTCTATACTGGTTTAGTCTTAGTTTAGATCTGGTTTAGTCCTAGTTTAGTCATGGTTTCACCTTGGTTCAGTCCTGGTTTAGTCTTGGTTTAGATCTGGTTCAGACCTGGTTTAGTATTTTTCTTTGGTTCTGGTTTAATTTAATCCTGGTCCACACTCTTTTTAGTCCTGGTAGTTTAGTTTCATTGGAGTGTAGTTTTTGGCTCAGTTTGACAAAATGATGTAAGTTTTTATGTAACATTTCCGTCAGTCTTGGTTTCGTGGGGGGCAGTTGGAGACCAGATGGAGCTGTGACCTGCACACATGGGGACTAATCAGGGCACGACTCAAATCCGATCCAAGTTTCAGTCCAAATGCCACACTGAATACTTGAATTATACTTTACTGGAACTAGTATTTGGCTCCAGAAAGTCAGTAGATGTAAAATTAATGCATAAATTGGGTATTTTAAGATTATTTCTGATTTAAAAGGCTGGCTTTTGTTGCAGAAAGAACTACATTGACCATGATCCTTTGCACTTGGTGGTTTTATAGCTTAAAAATACCAAAAAGCTCACAAACTCACCTTTAAATATCACAATAAATATATATTAAGTTTATAGAACAATTCCTGCCCTATGGGTATTTGGGTATTGTTGAGGAATTTGGTGTTTGAAATGTGTCGTTAATGAAAAATGGTTTGGGACGCCGTGTGAGCCTAAAGGTCAAAGGTCATGGCTGATCACCTCAGGCTAAACGCCCTCAATATGTTTTAAATGGTTTCTCTTTGGTTTATGAGCCATGAATAGTGATTATGGTTTAGTCCTGGTTTAGTCCTGGTTTAGTCCTGGTTTGGACCTGAATTTGATCTAGTTGAATCATTTTTTTTTTTTTTTTTTGGTTTGATTTGGTTACCCTGTTAGTTTTGGTTTAGTCCTGGGTTAGTTCTGGTTTAGCCCTGGTTTAGTCTTGATTCAGACCTGGTTTAGTCCTGGTTTAGTTCTGGTTTAGTCCTGGTTCAGCCCCAGGTTAAATTCTGGGATTTAT